GCTGTCTGCAGTCCTCCCTGTAAGAACGGCGGTCTGTGCATGGGGAACAACGTCTGCTCCTGCCTGCAGGGATACACCGGCAGGAGATGCGAGAAAAGTCAGTCTTCCTCCTCCACTTCATGTTTCTCCTCATTGTCACCTTATTATCTCACACTGTCGAAGTCTTTCGATTCTTCAATCTTCAAATGTTCCCTCCTTTCTTAAGCCTCCATCCTGATGTCCATCTTCATCGTCGGCCATCGCTCTTTAACTCTGCCATATTTTTTTGTCCTCTTAAAGGTTCTGAACTTCCTTCAATACACTTTAAATTCCTACAGTTAAAACAAATCTCTCTTCCTTCCTCCCTGCAGGTGTGTGTGAGCCCATGTGCATGAACGGCGGCAGGTGTGTCAGCCCAGATATTTGCGATTGTCCATCGGGTTGGCGAGGAAAGAGATGTGATAAACGTAAGTGCCGAGATACAAGAATCGGATCAGAACAGATTTTTTTTTACATTTACTGCCTCGTCGTTCTCCCTGCCAACCTGTCAGATCCCATAATGCATCAGGGTGAACACCTGCATAACTGCCTTTCAACGGCCACTCAGAGGGAAAAGTCCAAAATGTACAAAAAAAAAAAATCTGTGCAGAAACTCTCTGGAGACAAACACACTTAAAAAGCAAGCCATAAAATCCTTAAAGGGAGCTTTAGGCAAACATTTATCCTTCCCATGTTAGATCCTTTAATCTATAAGCAATCTAAAGATATTGGAAAGCCCATCATGAGACAAGGACACATCTTTAAACCTCCAAAAACATCACATTTAGCAGAACAACATCCAGTGAGATATTTACAGTTAACTCATATTTGAGCACTCAAACTAGCACGTAAACTGTATGAAACATGAGCTGTGGTTTGTGGTGGATTCAAAAATATGTTTTTCAAGTCTATGACTCTTGAGTTCTTCAGAAACAAATGAAGGAACAACTTTTCTGAAAGGTTCAGAGTCTCTCCGTCCTGACTGCAGCAAATCAATGAACGTACGTCTTTTGAATAGAGAACATTTTGTAGTGCAAAGTTTATAGTGTATAAAACGTGTATTCAAAGTGTATATGCAAAGTTTCTGACTTTGCAGGGCGGGTTTAGGTTTATGTTTTGAATCGTGTGCTTGAGATTGGCTGTGATGTCGAGGGTTTTTGTCTTTCAGGCAGCTGTCTGCAGAAATGTCTGAATGGCGGGGAGTGTGTGGGTGCAAACGCCTGCCACTGCGCCGCGGGATGGCAGGGCATGCTGTGTCAGATCCGTGAGTATCCCGACAAAATGCACAGCAACACATTGATGAAAAATGACACAAATATCTGGACATCCCTCTGATGTCAGCTTTGCTCAGGTGTTCTTTTCTATTTTTGTCGTTTCTCAGCCATCTGTGAACAGAAGTGTCTCTACGGCAGCCGATGTGTCCGACCAAACGTCTGCGCCTGCCGGAGCGGATTCTCAGGCTCGCTTTGTTCAAAAAGGGTAACAATCCTTAAACGTGCAGCCTTCTGAAAGTTTAACGGAGTCAGTCAAAACCTTAAAGACACAATGCGAACGAGAAAATCCTGCAAACTTCTAGTCAGTTTGACTCTCGACGTTCAGATTAAGGACTCATACAAGTTGTGGGTCTTAATTTACAGAAAGCAAAAACACAAACATTTCAGTTATTTTCACTGCTTCATTTTCCCCAGCTGGTCTGGGTTGGGGTTGCATGTGTGAGTCTTGCATACAAAGAAAACTGGAAACACGTGAAAATGCATCCCCTCTCATGAACTGACGGCTTACAGATGAGGACGTATGGAGGCTAGGTGAACTCAAGCTGTGCAAAATACATTTGCACTGAGAGTCTGCAAAGCTTCAAAGAAAACCAATCTGTGCAAACATCTGAAATTCAGACGTGTTGTGTTTGTATCTGGAAGGAGGAAAAGGATTCAAACTTTACATCTGTATTACGATGAGGACTTTGATAGCGAGTTATAGTGAGCTGCAGCAATCTATAAGTGAAGCATTTTCAGTCTATCTGTCATTTTAACTCCTCATATTCTTGTGTTTTTGCAGCTCCTGATTTCCCAAGGCTGATTCTCTGATAAAACCAGCAAACACCAACGATCTGGATTTCAAAAAGCCTCAATCAAACCTCCTGATGACCTTCAACCGTCAGCACAAAACATAGTCCAAAGACAACTCTCTCAACTCTCTTTACTGTGAAATTTAGAATCGTCTGTGCAGCCAGAAATGAGACGATCTTTGAAACAGCAGCAACAAAAATCTGGAATCAAGGGGGAATAAAAGTGAAAAGCATCAAAAGATATTTTAATGTAAATCTTTAAAACAAAGGTCTGTGTGTTTATCCTGAAACTCTGAAGCACCTGTTTCCGTGTAGATTTAACGTTTACGACGACTTCCTGCAGAGCTTCATCTCTCTGAATAACTTCTGGACTTTTATTCTAACTGACTGTAAGAAAATGGGACCACTGATTTGTCAGCTGATGTCAAAGTGATAAAAATGAAAGTGTACAAGGCAGCTGATGAGCTCGACAGATTTAGGCAAACAGTTTCCCTTTGCTTCCAGTCTTTGTGCTAAGCTAAGCTAATGAGACGCTGATTCCACTGCTGCACACACACACTCTGCAGGAGATTACAACCTTCATTTTAACAAGAAGTACGAAAGACATTATGCAATACTGTCTGCAAAAGTGTCACGCTTACCTAAACCAAAAACATCGACGTCTTATTGATAAGTGCTCAAAGTTTAACCACATCGAAGCAGCCTTAAATTACTTTAAAACCGCTTTGGATGTCTTCTTTCCAACCAAAGACTTCCTAAATGAAATTAGAAAAAAGGTTCATGATCCGGACTTTACAAGCAGCTGTTGTGATATTAACTGTAGATGACTTCCTGTTCAGGCTCCAACACCACAAACACAAACCTCTGTACAAGTATTTATTTATTTGGTTGTTTTATATTGTCGCATATTTCTTGTTGTATATTTCTTAATCACTGTATTATCTTTGTTATTTCTTATTCAATCTTTGTTTACTGGTTGTTTTGTAAGAAAACAAATAAATATCCTCTTTAAGGTGCTGTTTCTTTTCTGACTTCTTATCTCTGAACAACAACACATATATAGAGTCTTACCTTTTGTTTTTCCACTTGTGATGAAGTCCTGTAGTACCCATAATCCTTTGTTAACAGCTGTTCATGTAGCCGAAGATCTCCAACATGACCACCAGTTGTCGTCTCCTAACTCCTGGAGGCAAAGATTCAATAAAAGATGAAGAAGTTACACTAAGTTTGTATTTTTGACACAGAGTTTGTTTAGGTCATGCTTTTTGGGTTGTTGATGTTTGACTTTGCTTCAGGGGCCAGACAAGTTCACGGCCAGCGGGTCGGGGCCACGGGGTCCTCAGGGCGAGGAAACAGGGATTAAAAGATTAATGAGGCCGCATTAGCTCTGCACCAATTAGGATTCCAGCCTCTCGCTGACTCCTGCATCTGCACGGGCCAAAAACGACTGAGCTGTTTCACTTTTTTACCACCGAGTAGCGGAGAAGCTGGAGCAACAGGAACGGCCCTTTGTTGATACTTCAAATTTATTTACAAGTCTTTGTCAGTTTGCAAGTAAATAAATAAAAATCTGATCTTTTAGAGTTCAATAAGGACAGGATATTTCTAAATTAAGTTAGAAACATTGCTTGAATCAAACTCAAACTCTATTATTTTGACCTTTTGCATGCTTTATCCGGCATGCAGGCAACATTTGAATTACCAGTCTTGCATATTTTTGTTGCTGGAGGCTGAAAAATATTTAGCAAGGAAGCTCTGAAAATGATCAATTAGGGTTTACCGCCCTCTAGTGGCAACAATAGAAATGTCAGCACAGGACGTGTTGATGAAATTAAAAGCTCAACAAGTATAAATCTGTGATCTTCATGATTGGCTGGTTTAAATGAATTTAAAATTCTGGATTTGATTTGAATGAAATCTGCAGCCTGGCTTTCACGTCGCTCCAAGTTTTCATGCAACACGAACATGAACACACACGAGATATTTATATCCCTCCCCAAAGATGGCACTGAGCAAGGTGGAGGAGGAGGGGAGCGTGTGTGTGTGTATCTTGATGGGCACACACACAGACAGGACAGGCGGCTACACCTGGACTGTTCACTCAATGAAAGATCAGAGACGCCGGCCAAAGCAACAAGGTTATCCTCCATCTTTACTGGACGCCAACACACGGGAAACAAACATACACACACAACATCCACGTGTGTGCTGTGTGTGTGTGTGTGTGTGTGTGTGTGTGTGTGTGTTTTCTTTTAACAGAAAAAGTGCAAAAATATAAAACTAAAATAAACTTAAACTATGAAATGGTACAAAACTGGCTCGTCATTTTAACTTTGCAGCTGCAGAGGTGGAGCTCATGTGGGAAACTTAAGGATTTTATTCAAATGTTATTGAAAATATTTGTATCTTTCACCAAAGGTAATGAAATATTGTCTTAAATAATCAAGAATGAGATCGTGACAGAAAACCTTAACTGACCCCAGGGAGATTTGTAATAAAAACATAAAACAGATCATTTGAGTCGTAGTAATATGAAATGTTTAATTTTGAGGAGCACGTTTTATTGCTGAAAAAGAAAAAAATATTTTATTTTCTTTGCATGTTTTGAATGAAAGGAAAATTATATTGATCACTCCAGAAATAATAATTTCTGAATCTGATTTTCCTTTTTTTTTTAACATGTTCATGTAAAAAAAAAAAAATAAAGGATGTAAAAAATAAAATAAAATAAAAAAATCGAAATGATTCATGCACATGTTTTGTCTTGTAAGTAAACATCTGCATGTTGGACCTGAAGTTGTCAGTGTCGACCTTGAAGCCTCAGATCAGTGGAGGCCTAATTTAAACCTGCAGACCACAACAGGTGCCCCCCCCCTCCCTACACCCTCCTCCTCCCTCCCTTTAGGCTCCACCTGTCCTCTCTTCTCCGCAGCGGGCTGCCGACCCAGAAAGCAGCCGTCATTCATTAGAAATGGTATGCGGATCCGCCGGGGGGCCGGGCGGCACAAACCCCCTCGGTCACCGGATCGGCGGCAGCTGCTCGGCCCCCCGGTGCTATTTTCACCCTCAGGATAAAGTGATGTGCAGCCGCGGCGCGCCCGCACGGTCCCAGCTACTCCAGTCCGAGCCGAGCAGAGCCAGGATGAAGTCGACCGGGAGCGAGAGACCGGCGCAGCCCGACGGATTCACCTCAGACCTGGACGATATGGACAGCGACAGCTCCGACGGAAAGTCCACCGGAGGCTGCAGCCCGCGCGCAGAACCGGGGGAGGTGAGCGGAGGCGGATCCCGTGCCGGAGTAACGAGGCGGAGGAGAAGGCGGAGGCGCAGGAGTGACGGTGGGGACGTGCGTCTCCCCGGAGTGAGCCATCAGAGGCAGGCGGCAAACGCGCGGGAGCGGGACCGGACACACAGCGTGAACACCGCCTTCACGGCGCTCCGCACGCTCATCCCCACCGAGCCCGCGGACAGGAAGCTGTCCAAGATAGAGACCCTCCGCCTGGCCTCCAGCTACATCTCCCACCTGGCCAACGTGCTGCTGCTGGGGGAGGACTGCCTGGACGGACAGCCCTGCCTCCGCTACCAGAGCATCCTGCACGGCCCCGCCGCGCTCAGACCCATCTGCACTTTCTGCCTCAGCAACCAGAGGAAACTGGTGAGACGGATTTTACACCTGCAGCGGCATGCAACATACAACTCCTTACTGTCATGTAGAGTGCAAACAAGGTTTTTAATAAAGAAGGAGAGAAACAAAATCTGCTCCATCTGTATTAAAAGGAGAACATATCACTCCAGCTGTGCAGGACGCTTCCCCTTTATGTTTGAATTACAAGTTCAGGTGCAGAGTTGGGAGAGTTTGAAGTGATTTGTGTTTGACCAAAGCTGCACCTGTTGGTTCAGTGATTGACAACACCAAAGGAAAACATGCAGTGGAGGTTCAAAGGTTTAAAATAAGTCTAACAGACACATGCCTCAAACTGATTGGACCTACATTTAAAAAGGTTTTTTAAAAGTTTTAGGTCAAATCTTCCACAGTGAATTCAGAGACGAATGGCAAATCTGATTTATTAAAACAGAAAAACAGAGCGAAAAGGAATTGAAATAATAACAGGGGAGGACAAATCCGTTGACGTGATGTTTACGACTAAACTTCCAGTTAAGGGTCGTTTTTAATCCTAAGTACAGCTGTGTAGAAGTGGATCAGACGTGTTTACAGTCGTTGATGGTGTTTGGCCGACGCCTCTGAGTTATTAATAGAACAGAAACTGTCACAAGATCAGAAATATTATGTCACAATGACATTTTACAAAGCAGCACTGTATTTACAATTTTACAGCAGCTGAACTCGACTGCTTTCACGGCTCTGCAAACTTTTATTTGTCAAACATAAGGAGCGGAAATCTGATGTATCTGCATGTAAACAAAAGATGTAAATGAGGGATACTTTTACATCTTTTCTATCTAAAAAACATGTGAGGTGTGTTGTTTTTATAAGGGACTGTTAGACCCTGCTATGCATCAAAACTTTTACTTAATTAGTCATTTCTGATGTATTTAAAGGCGAGGTGTAAAAACAATGAATGGTTAATTATTTAAAAGAATAAATCAATAAAATAAAGACAGGAAAAAATGGATGAAAGGCGCTAAATTAAGCTGATAAAGTTTGTTGTTGGGATGTATGCTTTGGTGCTTTCACTGAACCGTGTTTTGTGGTAAAACTGACTGTTTCTCTGCGTCCACAGCTCAGAGATGGAGGGAAGCACTCGGCTGCGGTGTGAGGTGAGGCTGCTGCGGACAGACGAGGACTCCACCTCCGTGTTGTTTACACCTGAAGGACTTTGTACATAAACATGAATTATTTATTTTTTGGATTAGAGTAGAAATCAGATTGAACACTGAGAAGCACTTTCTGTTCACGTCCGTCCGTGTGCCTCTGAACCTCTTGTGTTTTGGTTGAGCTGTAACCTGAGCCCATGTGTAAAGTTGCACCTGACGGGGGGGCTATTTCAGTCCCACCAATAGTATAAACTACCCCCCCCCCCCACCACCACCACCTCATGTCCAACGCCTAAAAAAAAAAGCTTTGCTTCAGTCCCATGAAGGAAACTGAAGAGCAGCTCCTGCAGCGGTCGCTGTCAGTTTAGGGACATGAATGCTGCCTTCAGGTGCTGTCAGAGATAATAGTTTGTTAACTTCTCTATCGCCCCCGGTGGTGATCAGTGGACACTGCAACGCACACAGAAACTGTATCATGAACTTATTTTTCACAGCCGCTTATTCTAGTTACACGACTACTCAAACTGCACTTCTGTAACGTTTGCAATGTTTAAGATGCAACAACCGTTCAAATCGAAGAATTACGCAGCCAAGTGAGCGATAATTACAACGGCATTCCCTTTCCTTTTTAAATCTCAGAACTAAGCAGAGGATATTACATGAGGATGTTTTTTTTTGTTTGGTTTGCTTAATCGAGTAATTTAAGACGAACTCAGGGGAAGATTTGATGTAGCTTTACGTTCAGATGGTGCATCGTTGAGTCCTTACTTTACTTTTCGGGACGCCGCACAGACTTGCAAAGAGCTGTGAATACTTTTAAACGCCCTGAAAGCCAATTAATGGAATGAGAGGAAGTATTGAGTTTACGTTTGAAAATGGTGTGCAGAAAAGCTTTCTGGGGAGAAGATGCATGATCAGGGGCGTTCTCACATCAGCTCACTCTGACTTTCTGCAGAAAAAGTCTGGCAGAAGAAACTCTGGATAAAGTCTTGTTGCGTTCACACATGCAGCTCCACGGTGAAAATCTCAGGAGTTTTGTGCAGGTGTGAACAAGGCTTTTATGTACCTGTTGGAAAACAGGAATATAGAATTTACCGATTGGGTGTTTAGCCAGTTTTGAAGCTGAAACTTCCCCAGAAATAAGCAATTAAGTTCAGAATTCAGAAACCAAAAACTGACTGGGAGGCTACTTTTTCATTTTTCATCTTTTAGCTGTTTCCTGATGAAATATGATGATAAACATCAACGGTGTGGTGAAATGTTTACATTTGCAATCTTGCACAATCTCTGTATCACTTTAAAATATATTTATAAAGTCTGGAGAGCACAAGAACGAGAGATTCCCCGGCACAAAAAGGAGAATATCTAAACCAGTTATTCACGCAGATCGTTTGACATGTATGGCTGCAGCAGGTAAAGATGAAAACTCTCACTGGAAAATGTTGCACACTACCTCAAACCTGCTCTGAATACGAAGGCCTACCTCGAAATCTGAAGTGTGACACGACTGTTTAAACTTGAATATCTGACATTCATCCTGTCCTTTGCACATCACAAAAAACTGAGAAGCTGGTTGAAGAAAAATGTATTTTTGTACAATAAAAATGAAAACATGTAACCGTCCTCTCTTCATTCATTCCCCCTGACGCTCAGTTATATTTTCTCGCGCTAACCTTCTCTTGAAGCCGCGCTCTCTCCTCAAGGGGCGTTTAAGAAGTCTGACGGTCCTCCAAGGTGTCGGAGGGGGGGCCAAGTCTTGATCGAGACAGCAGAGATCAGGTCCTGGGGAAGGATACATTAAGTGATGTAACTTTTATTCAATCACCTGATTCAGAAATTTCACTGGATTACTTTGAGAGATCATTTATGAGCATGATTTCATCAAACTTTATCTCAAAGCTGGACCAATATTAAACCTTTTTGAGTTTTTGTTCAGTTTTGTTCCAATTTATATCTTGCAGCAAATTTTAGTGTTGTAGTCAAGACCACAGTCCCAGACCAGGACCTACCCTAGACCAGAACAAGACATTTAGGGATCGAGAAAGTCAAAACCAAGGCAGGACGAGGTCGAGACACAACCAAGACCATAAATATCTCTGAAAAACAGCTTATCAGTGTTGGTCTTGATCCGGAGTCACCCAGTCTGAGACCGACCTTCAAAAAGTGGTCTCGAGACCGGACCGATCTCAACTTCTACAACACTGGCAAATAGATCTTCAGAATAGCTTTATTCACTCGTTCTGCACTTCTGATAAAGAAGCCGTGTTTGAAACAGATAAAAGAACATAAACTGTTTAATTTTGTTGCAGCACGTCGATCACATCCCACATGTAGAGAAACAATATTTAATAAAGACGCTGAGAACACAGGGTCGGTAACATTTCAATAATCTTTATTTCATAAAAAAGTCAATTGGTTTGTATCAGATTAAAGAAAGTAGAAACCAATAATAATCCATTAGCTGGCGAGGCATCTCACAGAGGGGGGAGGGGGGCGTGTCTTCTGACGGCGCGACCAGAGCCACCTCGACACGCGGTACAGGTTTACCCGAAAAGTCAAGAGAGAAGGCGAAGTTTAAGACCCGATAGGAGCCGAAACATGAGCTGGGCGAAAATCATAAAAACAAAACAAAAAAGGCGGGATTTAAAATAAAGAAAAAAAAACCTTGGCAAAAAAATAGTTTTTTTTTCCCCATCGGCCTTGAAGTTGCACGACAAAGACGTGACTTTTAAACAAATCTGGATTCAGATTCGTTGAGGCAGCCGTCGAGATGACATGGAATGTTCCATATCCTAATTACGACAATAATAATAAAAAAATAATATCAAAATAATAAAGAGGGGAGGATTTATCGCGTCGACCTGAAACGGGTGACGAATCAGGACCGAGCCCTTTTGTCTGGAGTTAAAAATAACACTTAAATCTGTTTTGAGAGGAGGAACAATGTGTGTTTCGGGGATAAAGAATAAGTAACAGGAGGTAGAATAGAAAGAAGGGGAAATACATTTTACTGCTCCTGCTGCTACTTATAAAAAATAAAATAAAAAGTAAAGAAAGGAAAGCTCGTCTGGCGTTGGAGGCGTTTAGTCCGTCTCCTCCTCCTCAGATTCAGACTCTGGAAGAGAGAAAAACAAAGCAGTAGACATTTAAGATCAGGTCATGACTTGAGACTTCTGCAGAAAACAATAAGAATCAGATATTGGGGCGCCGGGTGCCTAAGGGAGGATATAGTCCACAGGGCGACATGTGGCTCCTTTGAAAAGGTGGAAGGAGGAGAGGATATATTTCCATTTACCAAACAGCCCCGTGGTCTAAATGAAACATCTGTGCTGTGGTCAAAATATAACTTGAATCAAGCACCAGAGGAGGTTTGTGACCCTGTATAAACCAGCTCTCTCAGAAAGCTCCGTTTTGGTCTCTTTAAATGCAATTTTAAATAGAGTAACATTAGCATATTTGAACACACAGGTGAAGCTCTTATAAAGGCACTCCCTCATCGCTGAGGGAGCGATCACAGATGTTCCTGCTTTGACATGTCAGAATATCTGCAGTGGGAAACATTTAGCGCCTCAGGGAGAACGTCAAACAGATATGTGGGTGTTTTGTGTTTCTTTTTTTTTTACCTTCCTCTGCGTTTTTCAGCCACTCGACAAATTTCTTCATCTGCTCGAGGAAGAAGCTTTTCCCCTTGGCAAGGTGGGCCTCATTGTACCACTTCAGTATGGCCTCTTCGCTCAACACATCCGCTGTTTGATGAGAGAGCAGGAGAGAGTTAGAGCTCGGCAAACGTTATTTTCAACATGTGCTAGAGAGACTTAAAATATGCCTCAGTTAAAAAGCAGTAACAGCTCTGTGTGAAGTTCTGCTTCTGGATCTGGCTTTTAAGACGCTAATAGGTTTGAAGTCCTTCAAGCAAATGCTGCACATCCTTTTTAAAAGCTTACAAACCATTCTGTGCAAAAACAAGAGGCTGAAAATGTGTTTTTGTTTTAAATGACACCGAGCATGAGAACAACATTTCAATATCAGGGAAATGCTGATACTTCTTAGCGTCAGATGCTACAGGTGTCATTGACAAAAAAAACCTAAACAGGAAGTTGTGGTTTGTTAGATTAGTGGGTATGGACCGATGTGACACCGACCTTTGTAGAGCAGCACCACGATCTTCGGAAAGGTCTTCATGAAGTGGATGTTGTCGTAGCAGTACTCCTGGATCTTCAGCATCAGGCTGAGCTCGGAGAGACCCTGGGAGGTGAAGGCTTTCAGCAGGAGGCTGTATTGCTGCAGAAACAAAAACAACAGGAAGCTATGTTTGTGTGTCCTGTTGAATAGTTGTATTCTAGTTCGAGGTTTTTTTTTGATCTCACTCATGTCCGTGTCTACTTTCACACCTTGCATAACACCACATTAACAGTTAGTCAGTGTGAAAACTGCAACATGAACACTCTGCTCTGAGCTCTGCTGCACCAAGAACAGAACTGACCTGAATAATCATGTTTGTGATAATAGCTCTGACAAATCTATGTTGCATCACTAAAACCCTGTCTGATCGTCAACTTCTTTTAAGTTTGAAAGTCAATTGGAGGCGTAAACTGTGCAGGTTTTGTTAGAATTACTGCAGTGCAAAAAGGTCTGCACACAGTTTGCATTTAGAAGTCGCAACTGATGATAATTAAAATCACACATGCTGCTGCAGCTAGCTACAACTAAGCACAACAGTGTCCTCTGTAACTTAGTGCCAAGCAGGTTTTGAGCCTACCTTGCTGCCGAGTGTGGTTACATTGTTTTGTGAGATGCATGCATGACTTCGGTGCAGGACCCTCCGCATTAAAAACTCAGATTTTATGATGTATTATAGTAGATTTTTAATTAAATTTGTATGAAATGCAATTTATTGAAGTCAAACCCTCTGTAAGTATCCTGTATTTGATTTAAAAGTTTCATTTTTTACATCTTGAATACTCGTCTCCGCCCTCGTAACCTGTCAGGACCTGCAGCAAGGTTCACAATTATTGCCCAATCACTGTTGATCTATTACAAGAGGTTTAAGAGTCTTTTTTTTGTTTTTTTGAAAGTGCATTGAAGGTCTTGAAACTTGTTGCAGCTTTACGGTCACGCTTACCTTCAAGTGTTTGATGGCTTGTTCGGTCACCAGCTCCTCCTTCTTGTTCCACTCCACGCAGCTCATCACGCTGGTCCAGATGATGCTGATCATGGCCTGCTCTGTGAGGTTGGACTTTTTCATCTCCTCTTTGGTGAAGACGATAATCTGAAAAACAAAAGAAGCAAAGCAGGGTTTGATCATCAGCAAATCATGTCTGGTAGTAACAACCAAGCATGTGCAGGTAGTTTTCAACGTGGCTAAAATGGTTCTGAAGTGTTGTTGTTAATCAGCTGAGTGACTCATTGTTTGGCCTCCTTTGTTACTGGACGCTTGCGTACTTACAACATGAGCTGCTGTGCGTCAGCCACATACACAATAATTATGTAACAAGTGAAATTACGTCAATGAGGGAAGCAAAATCTGCAACCAAAGAGGAACAACATAACCCTGCAACTGAATCAAGTCTAACAGGTAAATTATAGCCCATAAAGTCCAGATCTAGCAGATGCAAAACCAGCAACTTGTGTGGAAGAATGAGATAAAAATAAATAGACTGTTAGAGGCTAATTTGCAGTCCTGTATGTGTTGTTGCAGCTGCAGCCTCACCTCCTTCTGAGGATCACCACGGGCCATCTGTTCCTGGAGCTCCTTCTGCAGCTCCTTGCGGGCACCGATGGATTGCTGGTTGCGGGCGAAGTCGGACAGCTCCTTCAGCCCGGCATCGGTGAAGTACTTAGAAAAATGCTCGCAGCTCCGTTTGTTGGCAGGAAAGAGCTCCTGATGGGCAGAGATAGTCAGAGTTCAAATATCTGATAGAAAATTGGAATCAGCAGGACAAAACTCCTAACTTTATTTTTTTGCTATTTCAGATTACAACAGTTTTTTTTACCATCAGCCTGTTGTCCATTCCGACTTTCCGGAGGCTGCCAGCGACTGAGTTGATGTCCTTCTCAGCGATCCAAGTTGAAAACAGCTTGACCGCAAAGGTTGCAGATACTCCTAAAAACAAGAAAAAACAGGTTGATGTTAAATTACGGGGAAAAGTCCTGATGTAGAAATGAATCGCTTTGAAATCCCATTTTTTCTAAGATTGTACAAGAGCTGTTTTGTTTATCTGAGGGCAGATTATAGCTGAACAAAGTCTTTCCATCGAGTTTCTCCTCACCTTCTTTGACGAGGTTCTCGTTGAAGAGGCTGTTCAGGATGGAGGCTGATATGTTGCCGTTGCCGAGCAGAATGCCGGTCAACATGGCCAGCTTGTTGCGCTCAGACTCGGTGAATCCTTTCAGAAACAGCAGCAACTACAGAGAGACAAACAGGCCCAGATTTTAACGGGTGAGTTAACAACATCTTCGCTTTGATTGAACATTATAGATTCAGATCATGTTGATCACAGGTGAAATTTCTGAAAACCTGTTTCGTCTGTCCCCTAAAAGAATAACATGCTGAATTTTATCGTCATCAAGTTCAGGTTGTTGTTCGCTTCACTGCCTGTTGTTGCTGAACATGTCAAACCAGCACAAGTCTTTAGCTCAGCTAAAATAAATATTTAGACCGCAGCGTTCAGAACAAGTTCAGCACATCTGTTTCAAACACTCACCTTCTTGATCTCCTCTTCGAAACCCTTCTCCAGGTACTTGTAACGCCTGATCAGCTTGTTAAAAACCTACAAGGGAGAAAAATCACCAATAAGTTCTCTTAATGATTAAAAAAATCTCAAAATAGAATACTCTATAGGGGTTTTTCAGTGGTTGTTGAAAAACAGCAGGCCATGATTTGTACCTGAGCGTAGGCTTGCATGGTCTCCAGGTCTTCTTGTGCCGTAAAGAGGCAGAACTCAGTGCGGGTCATGTCCTCAGATAGAGTCCCGCCTGGGGCTGCACAAGATTAAAAAACAGCGATAAGTCAGAACAGGAGATATACGCTTTCATAACAAAACAGACTGAGTAACCTCGTCCATCTGTGACTGCAGGGGGCTACGGAGGCTCATCGGCAGCAGCCGCCATGCTGGAAATGCTGTCTCACCCTAACTTTCAGTCAACCTAATGATAGGCTGAGAGCTGGAGCTGAGGCGGGTCTGAGCCCCCTTGTCTTTTTTCCAATTGTTTTCAACAAAGAGAGAGCGTTCACAGCAGAAAGCGCACGCCTGGGGGAAAAGCACAGTGCCCAGTGTCTTTTTAGCACCGGCGCTCTTCTAAAAAAAAGAAAAGAAAAGATATTCCCCATAGTTTTGCCGCCTATGGACGGGACCGACGTGCAGCGCTTTTCTTCTCAGCGTACAAACGCTTCATGCAAACCTTCCCGAGCGCACATCCAGCGCTTTTCAGCCACCCAAAAAATAGTTAGGTAGACATGTACCTAACAATGCCCGTTCAAAATAAATGCAAAGAAATGTAAACCTTGCATTCTTTCCCTGCTCGTCACAATCACACTCTTCAAAAGTTTGCACCCTATCCCTTTCATGTCATGTATTGTTTTCCCCTCAAGATTAAAATGCTTAAATGTCTTGAGTTCAACTCACCCAGCATCCCGCCGGCCACCAGGATGTCAAAGAGTGTCTCTGCATATCGGCGGTAGTCAAGCTTGGAGCCAGAGGCATCAAGGAACTTCGCGACCGCTTCCAAATCAGAGCCAGTTTGATTCAAGCCTTGTACGATACTTTCTTGAAACTGAGAAGGTTCAAATCTCTCCTTTTCATCTGTGGGGGAAGAAAACAGGAGTTAAAAGAAAGAAGAATGCAAAGTGTGTTTTCTTAACACCGAGGACAAAGGCAAATACAAACCTCTTTTCCTCGTTTTGAAACGCTGGCCGGTAAGCGTTGGCTTCTGCTGCTTTTGATTATTCATAAAAGACACCCTGAAAGGATAAAAACACAAAGTTAGCGTTAACTGAAGTTGAACAGACGGCACGTTGACACTTAAGAGAAAAGTACACCGAGTGCACTTTCATTATGTTTTGTTGTGCCAGGGCTTTGGGTGTAACTTGGGTGAGATCCACGACCGTGTCAAGAGCTTGCCACCATGAATTATCCTTGCATAACCCAAGTATGGCAATTTAGTTTTAAGTCAAAGGTGTACCTTTGTGTTTCTTAGCATTAAACCACTAGAAAATAAAATAATCAGATATAGTAACGTGTTCAGTTTTTATATATCAGCATTATGTAATCAAGCTGGCATTCAAAGGGTTAAAATCCTCACAATTATTAATTTTTTTTTTGATATTTGCAGAAAAAAGCAGAATATCTATAATAATATATTGTCTTTAATGACTTAAGAGTGTAATAAATTAAACAGATGCCTGAGGGTTACAAATAAAATATTCACTTTATCAAACATTAAAATATATAAAGTATGTTTCATCCTGCAGAATTAAGTCAAAACTAAACAGAATTATACTCTTAATAAAAGGAATCACTACATTTTGAATCTATTATCAGTTCAAACATACAAAAACACATTTTAATTAAACCGACAAAAACAGCAAAAGGATGAAAATCAAACAAAAGGTGGAACAATCGAACAACAGATTTATGAGATTACTGAGATTTACCAGGAAAATGTCACACTGAATGCCTCATAATGGATGTGTGTTCAACGTAGACATGTTTAAGAGTACAATCAGTCAGTAAATTCAAAGTATTGGGTTGAAAAACACGCTGGTTTTCCAAACTACAGCTCGCTAATTGTGGGTTAGCACAGCATGCTAACTCCGGGCCTCACCATGCGTCGAGCGGTGTTCGTTAGCCGGGCCTGCTAACTAGCAACCAACATCGGTTATAAGACAAGCTAAACAACTGCTTGGACTTTAATTACAAACATGAGGTGTTGCCTTCTTAAAACATCCAACCTCCTGTCGACGTGTCATTAAAAACGTTAACGTAATACCGACACCGCGTTCAAGTATTTGAGTGATAGCATGGCTAAAGCTAAGTTAGCTCGCTAAAGCTAAGTTAGCTCGCTAAAGCTTAAGCAGAGAAAAAACTAAATTCAGCGGTTAAAACATCGCTGAAAACTGTCAAACACGACATTTTAACGTTTTTGTGACACGACTGTGGTGTAAGGTGTCGTAAAGATGGAGAAAAAAACAAGTACTCACCGAAATTAATGCAGATAAAAAACGGTAGTGAACCAGGGGAATCAATGCGAGTGACGATTCTCTCAGCGGTCCAAACAAAAAGACCTGCCCGTCAGGACTTCCGCAGGCTCCGCCCACCGCGCATGCGCAATTCGAAGTGGGGGTTTCCGTTCCACAAAATAGGAAAAACAAAAAAAAATTTGTATCTACGGAGCCCTTGAAGTTTCAAAATGTTAAAAACAATATATTGTGCGCACAAGACAATTTTTTATTTTATTTAAAATCTAATTTTATTGTTTCTGTATTTATTGTTGTGAAATTGGAAGTGATGTATGTGGTTAATTATTATTATTATTTTTAATTCTCTTTTTATTAATTTTTAAATTAAAACAGAAACAGGCAATGGGGAAAAAAAAATACAAGGAAAAACTCTAAACATAAATTATTCAGAGGCTATATGTTCCCAAGCCTGCCTGCAAGTTACTTCTTCCTACTCCTTTTCAGGCATATCAATTGAATATATGTTTCTTTTTCTTTTTTTGTGAAATCATTTGAACATTGTTTTTTGTTTATTGTATTTTCATGCATTTCATTTTTTTTTGTATTTTTGATATGTTTGATTTTATTTGATATGTCTGAAATAAAAATTTAATCAAAAGTTCCCACCACCCCATGCATGTTCCCAGTTTTGTACATACATATATCCACACAAACCTATACATACAAACATATCAATCAATAATAATTGACTAATAAAAATAATAAGTACAATAAAAAACAACAACAAAAATGAAGAATACAATTCATGCATCCATGTTGTCCTAAAATATTTTCATGTTGTCAGAAATAGACTATGGGCTGACAAGCCCCTTATTGGTGCCATAGATAACAGGACCACATGCAAAATATTCACAAATATTTAAAAGGGTTGGTCTGGTGTAAACCTCCTTGGTTAATGTGGTTAATTTAACAGAAACATTCAATGAGGTAATTTAAAAATACATCAATAACTTACGCTACATTTTTAATTTACCACATTGAAATCAAGATATTTTGTCTAATACTTTCAAGGAGCAATATGTCACTCTGACACCTACTGTTTAAAATGGGTACTGCAGTCCAAATTCAAAACATTTGAGACCGCTCTCCCCCTGCCTCGTCCTCTTTAGAGTGGATGCTCATGCAGGCTGCCATGTCATGGACACTGAAGCTTCAGTAAACCGAGGGGCGTCCTCTTGTTATTTCTTTACTTCAGCAGTTATGCTATTTGTAGAACACCTCTTCTAAACGTAAGACCTGTTATTTTAACCAGCCCTCCCTGCTTCCCTGCATCTCCTAACCTTCTCTTGTCACTCTCCTCCCTAACTCCTCTCTTCTTCAGGCCTCCTCTCTGACGGACGGGACTGTGACCCCTGCGATGTATCGATGAGCGATCATCCTCGGCCAACAAAAACACAAATCTGTGTTAGTTCAAAAACAGTTACTGACTATTTAGTTTGGCTGTGCTGTTATATTCTTGGTATGATCTTGCAGAGGTTAGGCACTGCCACTGAATACACAGAGAAACAGTTTATCTTCCATGTTCAGTCATTTATTCTGTGATTGAATAAGAAGGTGAAGAGTTAAAGCGACTCAAGCTGTGAATTAAGGTGCCTATAAAGTTTTTACATCACATGAAACATTCTTTGTTAAAACAAGAACAAAAATAAGACAATAGTTTGATTTGTCTGTTAAAAAAAATTACCTTTAAAGGAAGAATGTGCAACATGTTCCACATAAATATATCATAATCCAGTCTGTCCTGTGTAAATGTGTCTCTGAGTCCTGACTGTCTACAATGAGGGAGAAGCTCGAGTCCCGCTGGCTGTGTTGTTGTCAGAGCCGTGTTTACATGGACGGGACGGCCGGCTCCTCCCCTTGTGTATAAAAGCTGTTTTAGTCAAGAACTAGAGAAAAGAAGAAGAACATACTCACTGATTATTTGGATGTTAGTAAGAGTTTTTAGATCACGCTCATTCTGTGTCAGTTTACATGAAATGTGAAGCTACGAGCTAACTAAAGAGCGCTAACATTAGCATGCTAACACAACAACGCAGGACACAGGTGACTGCAGATCGATCTAAGGAGACGTTTGTCTGCACATTCTTCCTTCAAAGACATTTTCTAAAGGTGTTTTTATTTGTGTGTTATTGTCAGTTTCATTCAGCCGAGCTTTATTTTGAAGAAACACAAAAGTAAAAACACGGTAAAGTTTAGATGTTTAAGGCCCACGGTTTGAAAGATCCCGGTTTACTGGCTGGAATCTGCAACAATAGAACATCATCAAAAGAAAAGAAGTTAAAAGGAACATAAAGAACGACTGAAATATCATAAATTTACAACAGATTGAAATCACAATGTGGCTTCTTTTTTCCTCGCTACAGGATTTAAAAAACAACTCTTTTTTGATTGATTTTCCGGCTCATTATTTTTACCTTCTGAGTGAACGGGGATGCACAGGCCATGCAGGCCTTCTCTGGTGTTGCCGGGCTGTTCAGAGTAAACGGGCCGACTAAACCAGACTCCGAGCGCGCCGCAGCCGCCGCGTCTTTGATGGCGAAGAAGACTGAACTGCCGAGGAAGAGGACGGGTTCTCCAATACCCTGCAGAACCGGAAAATCATCAGGAACAAGTCTTTTTAAATACATTTAAAGGAGGAGAGTACAAATCTAAAAAGGATTTAAAGATTAAGGCGTGGCTCTGACCTTGGAGGAGTAGATGGCGTGCGGGTTGTGCGTGTCTGACAGAAGGAAAACGTTGAATTGAAGCGGCACGTCACACACGGCGGGGATTTTATACTGAGACGGACCTCGAGTGTACAGGACGCCGGAGGGGGAAAACTTCAGCTCCTCCATCGTGTAGAGACCCAAACCCTGCATGAACGCTCCTTCAATCTGAGAGAGGGACAGAGGTCGCAAAAAAATGGAAGAGACAAAAATAATGTGTTCTGGAAACACAGAATGACAAAACGACTCGATCTGGAGCAGTCCTCCTGAAATATTTTCAGGAGTGTATTTGTGAAAACGGCTTACAGTATGAATCAACCTTAAAAAAAAACATGTTCAGGCTGGCTAACAGCATCGTCTCTGACCTCGCCCTGAACAGTGAACATGAACTATGACCATCAAACCGGAGAGACAGCGTCCAACGTTTCAATAAGGTCAGACTGAAGCACTCTTATGTTCACCAGTTCATCTTTAAAATGAATCTGGAGCTCCATCTTAGATCAAATCACGCTGAAGGCCTCTGAATGTTGTGTTTGTGTTTAATTTTTATGTTTTAAAAGCCGCTGTGATGCCAGACTTTGTCCGACAATAAAGGTCAATCAGTCACTAAGCTCACTTTCTTTTACTTTCTTTACATCTAGAACTGGAGAAGGTGATACATGTAACCTTTTCAGATCACTTATTAAACACTGACTTCAGGAAATGTTACCAGTGTGCCTCCAAACAGGTAAACAAAATGACCTTTAGAGAAGCTTCCTCACTCTTGTTTCTGCATTTCCGTTCATGAAAATATTTTTTCATCCGGGCTTTAGAGTTTAAAACCGACTGGACTGACCTGTCCGATGTCCACCGAGGGGTTCACACTTCTCCCGATGTCCATCACAATGTCCGTCCTCACCGTCTGCAAGACAAAGATGTTGAATATCGGGAAAATTTTGCAGATTAAATGAAGTGAGCGATGAGAGGTTTCTGACCCTGTAGTCTCCTGTCAGACAGTCCAGCTCCACCTCGCTGCAGCACGCTCCAAACGTGAAGTACGCGTAGGGCTGACCCTCCATCTTCTCCCAGTCCATGTACAGGTCTGGACCTCTGAGGACGCACAGGAGACGACCATCGTAACTCCATAAATACACAAAAAATAATCAAACGTGTGTTTTCTTTTTTTCACCTGTAGAATCCAGTGGCTGATAAACTGATCTTCTCAAAAAATGCATCATTGACCTGAGAAGAAAATATAAAAACATATTTTTTACTGTTTCATTCGTTAGAGTTTATGTTTCCTTTTCTTGTGAAGTCGTACCCAACTCTCCCATGATCCTTTGGGCTTCTTCTCCCTGATTGGCTTAAGTCTCTGGTACAGAGTCTGGCAGGCATTCTGAGGGAAAGAAAATTAAAATAATTCAGTTTTAACATTTTAAAATGTTTAAACCGGGCGCAAAAGAGGAAAAATGAGACTTTACCTGGACAGCCCTGCCGTTGGCGTCGGTGCCGAAGGAGGCCGCAGACGGGCAGGTGTTGGGGACCGTGTTGGTGCTGGTTTCACTGATGTAGATCTTCGAGGCGGGATGTGAAGCTCCCGACTCGCAACCTGACGGAACAAAACAGAAGAGTTAAAAAATGAATCTGTTATCATTTGGTTCAAGTCACCAAAAAAAAAAAATAAATCACAAATTCATGATTTCATCTCGTAAAAGAGGCTCAGTTGTTTTATAAATAAGCAACTTAATGTCGTTTTTTAACGTTCTAGTTTCTTTATTGATACCTAGAAAGGTAAATGTGCTGTGCAGACAAACAAACATACAACATGGCAAAGTCCTTACGCAGACACCCACTCAAAAGTGTTAAACATCCTGATCTTGAGTTAGTTTTGTTGAGTGGTGCTTTAGCTGCAGGTACAAAAGAGTTTCTGTAGCGTTTGGCTCGTCCTTAGGAGCAACAAACCCACAGCCAGGATTTAAAGAAGCATGAGGAAATACGTTGGGGACTATTTTCAGCAGCGGATGAATCGATGTTTGATGCTAAACTTTACCTGCTGCATTTTGGTGTGGATCCCCTGACCCATCTCCGTCCCTCCATGAGTGACGAGAACAGAGCCGTCTTTGTAGATGTGAACCAGAGCTGCAGCCTGTAACACACATAAACACACAGACACACACAAACACACACAGGCACACACACAACCAGCATGCAGAAATTAAATCAAAACACAAATCTTCTAAAATTGTGTTAATTATCTTAAAAGTTCTGACCTGATTTAAGAAGCTCTCTGCGAATGCGATCCCGTATTTAATGGGGATGATGGACATCCCTCTCTTCTTCCAGCGGCTCTGCTGGTTAAACTGGTCGGCGGCTCTGCGGCGGGCGCTGTACTCAGACTTGACCTTACACTCCTCCCAGCAGCGCAGCATGTTCTCCGGACTGAACTCAAACTTGTAGTGGGTGACTGACGGCCCCTTGTACATGTTGATCTCTCGAATCTGAGGAGGAATTTCAAAATAAGAGAGTAGGGACCAGAAATTAAAGCATCTGATACGAGCAAAAAGCAAATGATATCCAACCTGTTTGGATACCACTGCAACCAAAATAACAGGAATGGGAGTTTTGAATGAATAGACTTAAACCTGGTCTGCAGGGCGTCCCAGCACCATGGCCACGTCGTTAATCATGTTCTCCACGACTAAGAGGCTTTGCGGGACGCCGAAACCTCTGAAGGCCGTGTTGGAGGGCAGGTTGGTCCTGCAGGCGGCGCCGCTGCCTCGCAGGTTGGGAATGTTGTAGGCGTTGTCCATGTGGAGAACAATTTTCTCTGCAACCTGCAAAAAGAAGACAATTCTTTTTTTTTTTTCTGTCTGGCATTTGAAATTTGAGAGTTAAACGTGAAAAACGGCAGATTATTGCCAACCAGAAGAGACTCATCGACCACGTTGCCGGCGTTGGTGTAGTACTGTAAATCTGCAGCCACGATCCTTCCATCCTTCATGAAACCCACCTGAAACAAACAGCACCTGTCAGGATCATTCAAACGACCCAAACCTCGCTGAAATAAAAAGTGTGTTTTTGTACTTTGTATTTTCCCAGGACCGGGTGGCGAGCTCCTGTGATCAACATGTCCTCTCCTCGCTCCAGGACGCAGCGCACCGCACGATTGGTCCTGAGGAGAAACATTAAGACGTGAAAATCACATTCATCAAATGGATTCATTTATTTCTCGTTTTCTACGACTCACTTCCACGCAGCCACGGACGTGATGCCGGCGAGTATGGCTGTTTTGGTGACCTTCCCTCCAAAAGCTCCACCCATCCTTTTGACGTGACAGGTGACTCTGTTGGACGGGATGCCCAGCGTCTCTGCGACTGTCTCCTGCAGTAAACATCAGTCCACCTTAATGCTATGAACTAGAAGCTACAGCAAAGGTAAAGCTGAGAGAAGAAAGGCTTTAAAGTTTTCACAGATGAGTCCTCAAACTGTCAAAAAAGAAGCAAAGACGGCGGTTTCTGCTATTCTGCAAACCTTCAGCCACGACTAACCACCTGAGTGCATGGCACCTACATATGAACAGGGTGACCATCTGCTACATGTCCCGAGTCCAAAAAAGAGCCAACACACCTGGTTTTGAACAGTCCCTGTCCACAGTTTCATGCAACATGCAACATTCTTGCAATGTCTTTTTAAATCAATCAATCGACGCTGCTGCTTGTTTTAACCAATAGAAAAACATTTCCTGTGAAGCAAAGTTGATTTCCTGTGTCCCTGTTGAAGTGAGGAGTAAAAGAAACGTGTGTGTACCTGCGTTAACGAGGGCCACTGAGTGGAGACGTAAATGTTGAACTCGGTCTCCTCCCCGACAGGAACGACCAGCATGCTCTGCGTCTCCATGTAGAAATGTTCCTGACCGCCCATTCTGACCTCACCTGAGGAAACGATCACAAACAATGACGGACAACAGGTAAACTGCACGAGATGCAAAGGTAAAGCGTCCTGTAATTATTGACGTTATTTGAAGGTTACAGAAGATTTGACCTTCATAAATGTGATCGACAGTTTGAAACGCTTCAGTCACGTTTCCTCTCTCGAGTTTCCTCTGAGGCTCGAAGAAAGACGACTTCTCCACGGCCTCCTGTCACACACACACACACACACACACACACACACACACACACACACACACACACACACACACACACACACACACACCTTTAGGATGTCAGAGTGGTTGTGAGCTGATGGTGAGTCGTGTGTGTGTTTATTTAAACCACAGACCTCTACAGTGAACGCCGGGTCGGGCAGGTCTTCATAGCTGATCTTGACGGCGTAAGCTCCTCGTTTGGCGTGTTCCCTCGTATCAGCGACCACCGCACACACAATCTGACCGACACACGACACCTGCACGCAAAAACATCAAGAGAGAAAATTAAAGTTTAGATATTTACCAAATTTAAAACGTTTTCACATTTTTTTTATTTTCTATTTTTCATTTTTTGTGCATTTTCCAAATTAAAAAAAAAAAGAAGAAGTGAGGATTCTATCCATCGTCACTGGGTGGCACCTTGATTTCTGACTATCCGCTGTCCTGTCTTTTTGGGTGTTCAGTATTTTATTTCTTTGTATTTTTTTATTTTTGAAGCTCTAAAAAAAACGCAGATCAGATTTGAACTTTTCAGAGTGACTCACACACACACACTCGCTCACCTCGCTCTGAGCCAGCAGCTCCTCCTGATAGCCAAACGACTCCCGCACTTTTACCCCGGGAATATCTTCGGCCGTGATGACGTTGACGACACCGGGCAGCCTCAGAGCCTCGCTCACGTCCAGCCCGCTGTTTGAAATGAAATGTTTGGATTAACATTTAGAAAACGTGTCGGACATCTTTGTTACTTTGTTCATTTTCTGCCTACATGATTTTAGCGTGTGCTCGCGCGCTGGTGACCAGGGACAGGAAGAGCTCCCCGTCTGTGTGCGGCATGTCGTCACAGTAAACGGCCTCGCCCGTCGCCTGGCTGATGGCAGAGCGATGCATGATGGGACGTCCCACTGGGTCCTGCTCGCTCTGACCCTTTGACACGTGCTGAGGAGGAAGAGAAAGAGGAAGCAGTCAGGTTTTTTCATCTTTGAGGTGTCAAATCTTGTTTTTTATTTGCAGATTTCTGACCTGGAACTCCTGCAGCCCGGGCTGGATGTCTCGGGGTAACGGCTGGATCTTCTCTGGGAGCTCTTCTTTAATCACATTCTGTACATTTCAACGCTTTGTAAGCCTCTGGTGTTCATATTTGTCAGGATTTATCGTGTTACATCATGCATTATGTCTGAGATTGCCCTGACCTACCATCTCTCTGAGCTCCTGCAGGACCTCCAGGTTGAACTTGAAAAGGAAGCTGAGCGACAACGAGCGACGAAACTCCACTTTTCCTCCAGGAGCCGACGGATGGAGGACCAGCTCGTCCAGGAGGACGTCGTAGGCCCGGCTGAGGGTCTCCTCGTCCCATGGCCTGAAGGAGAAACAGGATCCTTTAAGTGGCTCTTTGGAGTTCAAAATATATTTGGAGAGAAGGACGCTGACCTTGTGGCGATGGCTGCGCAGGTTTTGGAAGCGCTCAAGGTGGTCGCTCCCATCCCTCCGTAGTAAACACTGACGTCCTGAACGACTCTGGAGCCCTCCGAGAAAAACACTCGCATCCCCGACGTCACCGTGGCGAAGGACGTCTCCTTCCTCGGAGCCTGCCGGAAGACTCGAACAAACTCCCCCTGCAGGACGGACGACGGTGTTATCCAAAACATTTTCACTGCATATATGTTTTATTTATTTCCTTTACAGGCTGTTCAGGAAAAGTACATTTGTCTTTTTTGCCTTGTTTGGTCAGTAGGCGGTTTTCAGGCACCCCCACACCACACGGCCGTTTTGGACGCCCCTCAGTTTGCCACATATGAGACCAGTTATCAGGTCAAATGTTCAGGATTGTTGATGCATATGTTTCCTTTTTTAATGTTTTTTAAAGGAGTGATGTGTGCTGATTTTGACCCCTAAACTTGACATATGAGCATTTCCAGACAGAATATTAGTTTTCACCTTTCTGGTGAAGGGGATGAAAACGGAGACGATGATCTCCTCCGGCTTCAGGATGGTTTTGCAAAAGCTCACAAAGAAATCTTGATCCAGAGGAACCTCTCGTCTTCCTCCTGCAGGAATCAGAAACACAGATTTGATTGTCAGGAGGACTGAATTAAACGTACTTCTCTCTGAGAGGAAGACGAAACTCTGAACTCACCGTTTGAAATGACGCTCACTTTGCATCTCCCGGCAGCCAAAACGGGGTTCAGGTCGGAGTTTGGATACGCACTGATGACTTGACCCCCGAGAGACTAAATAAGAAAAAGAGAGACAAGTCATTTGATCAAAGTTTTCTACCAAAACAAATCAGTTCAATGTGAATCAGTCAAAGAACTAAAGCATGTGGAGGCTTATTCTCGACAAAACGTTTTTTTTAGGAGAAGAAACAAGAAAATATCAGTGAGGAAGTCCAGGAGTTAAAAACACATTTGATTAGATAAATATCAGAAAAGCTGGAGTTGAAAATACGTACAGCTACGTTTCTTATCTGGACACTTCCCAGGTTCCCCAGCTGTTGGATCAGAGCTCGGAACAGTTCGGTTTTCTCCTCCGGAAACTGAGGAACTAGTTTCTGCAGGAGGGACCGAAGCTCGGCCAGAGTACAGCCGGCTCCAACCCAAACTCCTGCAGAGAGCGCAGAACGAACAACAAGAACAAGAAGTTTAGGGCTGCATATTTTTTATTCTTGTAAATTTCTGCTGAGATTCATGAGCCTCTGGGACATAAAAGAAACAGAGGAGTCTTAAAAATCAGGTTTTAAACGTGTCTTTTTTTAAACTTTAAAGCAGAGTCACTGTCCCTAAAATCAAAAATCATGATCAAAAGTCAATTTTAAAGATAGTTTACTCGCCTGTTGGTGTGTGAGAGACCTCAAACAGCTCCAGAACTCGGGTCGGAGAGATTATCAGAGGATGGAAGACGCCTTTGAACTTTATATCTGGACCTTTAACACAAAGTGGAGTTTGATGGTAAATGGACTTGAGCTTGTTTAGTTCTTTTCTGTTTTTTCCCCACGCTCACCGATGTTGGTGTTTCCCATAACCAGTGGAGCTTTGGGGTTCTCCGTCTTCAGCAGCACCAGCTCCTCCAGAGAGACGGGGGACACCCAGCGGATCCTCTCCCCGTCAAAGGTGAGGGTCTGCGGGGTTTCTTTTTCTGCCATCAGCTGTGGATAGAAACTCAACTTTATATGAGTTTTAACAGATTTGTGTGTGTAACAAGTTGATAACAACGTCCGATGACTCACGATCAGTTCAGGAGGGAAGATCAGCTCCTGCGTCGGGTCCAGGGGAAGAAACTCGTCTTTGTCAAACAGCTGTGGCGGCTCCTGAGGCAGATTATGAGAACACGAAGAAGAAGAAAACTAACACTATGAATTGACAAATATCAGGAGATTTGAAAGTGTGAAAGCCCTAAAAGACAAACATCATTTAAAATAAATCTCAAAGATCAAAAAAAAGAAAAGAAGACTCACTCGCTCGGTTTCATCAGTTTGATTTCCTCTATTCATGCAGCAGTTTCCGTTTCCGTTCACTTTGCAGCAGTTTGTCTCCTGATTGGATTCACAGCAAAGTGATCATCACATTTTCACATCTTTATGTGACATGAAACCTTCTACAATGAATGATTTGTGTCAGAAACAGTCAAAAAGATTCAGCTGTGGTGTTCTTTAAAATGTTGAACTTGTTGCCCAGGTGATCTTTGTACCTGACAGAAAGTCCTGCAGCCGTCTACGATCGGTCGATATCCAGTACAGCGACACAGATTCCCTGAAAAGCAAACACAGACGATGAGGACGAGGCTGAGTGCAGCGAGCATTTGAGTCAGGACAGTTTGCAAAAACACCACGTGTATGAATTAACGCTCATTTATCTTTGTTTTCATTACGTGTACATCATGACAGATTTCAGGTGAACAAACCAGCCAGAGCCTCCGTGATGTCGTCCATGTTGGGTTGAGGTTTGTTCCTCAGCAGCGCGTACATCGCCATCACCATCCCCGGCGTGCAGAAGCCGCACTGAGAGCCGTGAGCCTTCGCTATCCGCTCCTTCAAACACAGAACCAAACATTTCCTTTATTGCATGAACAAAACGTTTTAATGAGGAGTTTTTAAATCTGCATTAAAAGGATTGTTGATGCTGTTTTTGTCCTGAATGTGTGGTCATGATCACAGATAGATGTCAGGTGAATCATAAGAAATAATCCTCAGACTTCATAGGAAGAGAAATCTTTCTTTCTTTGAACGAAAAATATGTCAAATGATTTGATAAATCAGGCAGACAGATAGGGAGAACCAGTGAAGGATTTTAAGCTGCTACAGAGAGAAGATTGAGGTTGTATGATTTTAATTTCCTCACTGAACAAAAATAGGTGATTTAATGAGATGATTTGATCCACATGCATCAGTTTATTTAGCCTGGTTGAGGTCTTTCTTCAGCATATCTTCAAACTTACTCAAAACAAAACGACCTGAAAGTCCAAAAACGCTTTTTTGGATGGTGTGGGATGCATTAAATGAAAGAATAAATCGAGTTTGTGTTCTGACCTGCACAGGGTGGATTTGTGTCTTGGTGCTGCCGATGCCCTCCACCGTGGTGACGGCGGCTCCGTGAAGCTGGCAGAGCGGCAGCAGGCAGGCGTTGGCGGAGAAATGACTGTCGGTGAGGTGAAGGAAACGTGTCACAGCGTTGTTGTCATTGTGTTACCTCGCAGCGAGTCTGTCTCTGTGGGTCTGGTTATGGTTGTCGTGTGTTTATTTGACTTTTTCTTTGCACCACTGTCGACGTCAGTGTCTTTGTGTTGTTTGTTTGTCTCCTCTGGAATCACTTTTTGTAACTCTGTAGTCATTCAGGTCGCTCCAACTGGAGTTGTGCGTCTCTTTATAGAAGTTTTGCATCTTTTAATAATCAATTCTGCTGCTCTGTGGCTTTCAAAGAAGACATGTTAACAGTTACTTCTCTGTTTATCACAGATATGCACCAACATGACTCGATTTATCCACCAGACAAACAGCATTTCATTTGAGTTTCATTGTATTGCACTAGCAGTTCCCTGCCACCAGCAGAGGGCGCTGTGTGGATTGCTACAAGAATCATCACTCTCTCGTGTTGAGTGGTGATGCACGTACATGCCCAGTTATTTTCCAGTTGAGTGACCATCTTCTCTTCATTATAAATCTTTTCCACAAGTGTTTGATAACTGTGTTCATCTATATCTATCACTACAGATCGAATATAGATCTGAAAAAAAGATATCGGACGATGTATCAGTATTGGCCCCAAACATCCCATATCGGTCGGGCCCTAGTTCTTCTGATTATCATGAATTGAACATATATTAGGTTATGTTTGATACTGTTGAGCTCTGCAGTGATTCATGCAGAGAGACTTTAGAGACAGAGTTCAGTTTGTAGTCTGTATGCAGCAGCTGGTTTTCATTTGGCTGTGTGTGTTCGGGGTTGATTGTCTCCTCTTACTCCTCCTCCTCCTCCTCCTCCTCCTCCTCCGCAGCAGCAGCACAGTAAAGAAAAGAGACAGATGTTGAGCTGGTTTCGAGCCAGGAGGGAAAATTCCCATCTGCACCCACAGAAATGTTGTTCTCGTGTTGCATCTGGTAACTCCCTCTCTGTGTCAGTGGTGTCAGTGTTTGGCTTTTGCTCTTTTTTTGTCTATGTTGCACCCATTTCTTACAAATACTAACTTTGGCACTTTTTAAACACAGTGTGGCTGCAGGTTTAGAAACAGACGCAGCAGAAGTGTGTTTTGCCGTTTGGTTTGGTTTTAGAACAAATGAAGGATACTTGATGGTTTTGGTAGCAGGTTGGTATCGGGACACCATCACCGTGCACGCCCCGCATCCTCCACCACCGCAGCCCGACTTTGTCCCGGTTAACCTCACTGAAGTCACAGTCAAGGAGATCAAAACAGCAGGGAGCGTAAAAGCCTGCTCACTCACATCAATATGATAATAAATCAGTTTTAAAAAAGATAGATCTGAAGGATACACTTTTCTCTGAGGAAGGACAACAGCATGGTCTCAGGGTCGGCATGCTTCTCTGTTACCTGTTTTTTAAAGAGAGAGAAAATATGTGTTACTCAAATACCTCACAGCGCTTTACAGGAACTGTCTCCCCAAACATACCTGACTGTGCTGACCTGCTGAGATTCAAATCCTTGAGCCAAACACACCAGACTTAAAATCGCTAATCTTTTTGTTTCCTTCAACTTGTTTTGTCTGAATGTAACTCTGGAAAGAGTCTTTTAGTGTTTTAAAAAGTGCTAAATTAATTAATTATTATTAGTGTATTATAGTCTTACAATAAGAATATTTCATGTCTATAAAAAGAGAAAATGATTGGGTTACAGGTGGGTTAATTTACATGAGGTTTTTACAGTATTTACATGAAGCAGTGTGCATATATTTATATTAGATTAAGATGATAATATTAATAATACAGTATTTACATCATTAAACCATAGGATTATACAACAACAACAAAAACATTAGCAAACAAACAGCTGAGTGACAAAATAAGAGATCAAACTTACATCTGACTGAAGGTTAAAGGAGGTTGATTCGTTTTCTCCTCCAAATTATTTACTATCAGAATCATTTTCCTAAGTTTAAAAAGTTTATAAAACTGCGTCATACACTGTATTTTTTTTAGATTTTACCAAAAATATGATTCGTAAAATTAAAAACTCTTTTTATTTATTTATTTATTTATTTATTTTACTCATCAGCGTCTTCCTGTCACAAAATCTGACAGGTCACAAAATTCTGTGTAACACCTCTCACTTACGTTACGACTTTTTTCGATCAATTTTAAGGAACTTTTTAAACGTTTTGAATTTCCAAACAAACTGAAAACGTTTTGTCAACCATAAGAATAACTTTGACAGCAGTAATAGTGATGACAACAGTTTGAAAACTTATATAATAAAAACATCCTGTTAGTCGCTAAAGCCAGCATCTAAACGACTAACGGTTATAAACTTAACGTGTTAAATATACCTTTTTCCCGTTAATAAAGAAGCACAAAGTATCTTCTTCTCTTCTTGACGACATGTTTCATATGTCAGTGAAAGTTTATTTGCACAAAAAAATAAAGTCGGAATAATTATGTAGCACTTCCGTTTGAGACTTTCAAAATAAGACATTTCCTAGCCGTTTGAAAGACAAAAACAAAGGAAAGAAACATGATTTGTTTTTTATTAATTACATTGATGTTATTATTATTATTTTTCACTACTCAAATAACAAGAATTTGCATTTAGTGGTTTGAATATTGTTTTTTTAACATATTAAAATAAGTAAAATAATCTGTGACTTGGGTTTTAAGTTTCTTTATTTAGAATAAGATTTATTAGAAAAAGTTTCATGCTGTCAAGGCTTATTTTTTAAGCTTTCTGGTGACCTTTTCAAATTGAGGTCTTTACCATTTAAAAGTGTTTCATGTTTTGATACATCCTGTCCCACACTGTTGCCGCTGTTTAACTTGATGAAGAAGAAAACCGCCCACCTTTAACCCAATGTGACCAGGTTAAGGTTTAAAACAAACAACCTACATTTTAAAAAGGTTTGAGTCAAAGTGCAAAATTAAAACTGCTGGAAGCTGAATTCCTTTAACTCTCAATGCAGAAAACTGATTTACATGACCTTAAATTCAACCTTTTAGGTCTTCTGCTGTTATAAAAGTCAATGACTCCCACTCTGTAAACAACACACATCACATACAGAACTTCACCTTTATGCTGCTGATATCGCTCAGTGCAGCCATCAAGGTGTATTCAATAATAATTAACCTGAACTCTGATCAGTTTGTGTTCAGGTTTAGTGATCTTATTTCTTAGAAAACGGAAACATCACAACATATGAAATCAATAAAAATCAACGAAACAAACAATTTACCCCCCGGGGAGAAAAAAAAAAATATATATATATAAATGTTTCATGTAACTGTAGAATAAGTCAGACTGAATGTGCAGTACATAAGTCTGACCACCAGATGGCGCCAAATCCTCATAATAATAATAATAATGATCCTGTAACTGTTGAAGTCAGACTGAGGATGCAGTACATAAGTCTGACCACCAGATGGCGCCAAATCCTCATATTAATAATAATTATCCTTAATCCTGTAATCGTAGAAGTCAGACTGAGGATGCAGTACATAAATCTGACCACCAGATCGCGCTAAATCCTCATATTAATAACAATTATCCTTAATCCTGTAATCGTAGAAGTCAGATTGAGGATGCAGTACATAAATCTGACCACCAGATGGAGCCAAAGGCGAGGACTGCCGAGAAGAAGCGCCACCTGACAGCGACTTTATGACTTATTTCCTTCAGTTTAAAGCATCTTTGTTCGTTTATTTTAGTTCAAAGCTGTTAATGAGCCACTTCCATAAATCACAAAAGAGGCACAAACATGCTGGGTGAAAACTCAGCCTTCTTCTGTCAAGATAAATAAATATAAATGATAAATGCAAACAGTCACAGTTTGTGGTCTTCTCTTCATCTTCATAACATCATTTTTTTTTCCTTTTTCTAGAATATCATAATAACTTTCAGTATGGGGTGCATGATAGCCTAGCGGTACAGAGGCTGTGGTCCTCATCACAGCAGCCGTTGGTTCAAATCCGACCTTTGCCCTTTGCTGCATGTGATCCCCCTCGCTCTCCTCCCAACAGTTCCTGTTTCTCTTCAGCTGTCCTGTCCAAAAAAGGCCCAAAAAACATCTATGAAATAATTTGTAGTATGAAAAAGTAAAGAGTAAATTAAATCCACAACACTTCAGGCTACAAATCTGATCTATTCCACTTAAAGCTTCAATAAATGTGATGCAAAAGGAGGATTTAGCATCATTCCTGCCAATAAATCAAAGTTTAGACACAAAGCTGGGTGTTTAAAATGTCCCGCTGCAGCAGATCAGCATTTAATAACGAGTTTCAGTGTTGAGATGAAACCTGATGAAGCTGCACAGTGTGGGAAACAGCAGCATGACGCTCATGTTTATTTACTCTGCTTCTCTTCCAGGTTAAACAGAAATGGTTCTACTTTTTCCCACCGTATCAGGTTCCTTTAACTCATCACAGGTATGATTCCTTAAAGACCTCCAAATACAAAACAAACATGTACGACTTTTAATCATTTTCACTTTTTATTTGTGCCTCATATCAGGGATAGAGGAGATTATTTTAGGTTGATTTTCTTCTCTGGGAAAGTCGATGTGTTGAAACGGATCGCTGCGTGTTTCGTGGAGATTTGCAGCTTATGAAAGAGCAGACAGGTCAAAGGTCAAAGCACCCAAACACACACACACACACACACTGAGGCTGCTGAGGGTCAAACAGTGTCACTGGAGGGTCTGCAGATCAGGAGACATTTGCAGTGAAAATGAAGAGTAGCAGCTCATGTTTAGTTACGTTCACATTTAATCTTTATTATCAAGAATCAAGAATTGTGAATCATGTTTGAGTTATTTTTTAATACATTTAAGAAGAAGTCTGACATTAAACTTCTTCTTATCCTTTAAATGTAAGTCATTACTGAAAGGTTTTGTTTGGAGTCATTTCTTTAAACATGCAAATAACTGTTATTTTACGCTTTAAACACAAAAACAACATTTTAGTTCCAGAAATCAACGACATGGGAGAGTTTCTCACATGCTCTTTAAGGAGACGGTGTCTCTATCGTCCTGCAGCTCGGCTTCTATCTGTGCACAAATCAAAGCACAAACAAATGAGTCACATCCATCAGTGAAAATGTTGAAACTGTGACGCTGCTCGAGTTTAACCAAAACAGAAGCCCAGACGTGTCATGGCCACTGGTCGAGTAGAACATGTGGGAGTTTGTTTTTCTCTGTCACATAAATCCATCGTTTCCTGACTCAGTCGACTATCTGCTGACATCATCATCATCAGAAGAAGAAGAAGAAGACGGATACATCTCCTCCTCCTCTTTCTTTATTTCCCTTACCTCAGACTCCCTCCTCATCAAATCTTTTGCAGACGACACGTTGCCTTTCTGACTTCTCTCTACGTCTCTACGGATTTAAAAAAGCTCGGTGCTGGAACTCAGAATGAAATCTCCTGCTGTGAACGAAGCCTCAAAGAATCACATCAGACTCTTCTGATTTAATTTGGAAAGTCAGTCAAACTGTAACCCAGCAGAGCGATTACAGGTTCACACATGCCAAGTGAGGAAAGTACCACTTACAGTCACTTTACTCTGCGATTAAAGACTTAGAACACGAGGGGAAATGTTCTGAGGGGTCGGAAAGAGTCGGTTTGAAGACGGCTGTTGAAAACTGAGAGCAGCTTTTGGTGTTTTATAAAATGTAGGTATGTTCCCTATGAAGCATCTTCTGTTACTTCAACCCAAACCATCTGATCACATTAAGAATCTTAACATCCCTGAAAAGAAGATCTCAGCTTGTAACCTTTGATCTGATTTGACGTCTGTTTCTCGTTTCTCTCTCTCTGTAATTAAAATGATAATGAGATGAAGCTTCGGTCGTGACGTCACAGCTGACTCTCGGTTCACCTCGACGCTGTGGGAAACACAGCTGGATTAGCCTCTGCCTGAACTGACTCACAGCGCTGCAAAACCCCCCAAACACACTCCACCCCGAGAGAGAGAGTGTGAGAGTGTGTGTGGAGTCCAGGGAGGATTGAGAGCCAACTGGAGCTGTGGCACACACAAGGAATTTACATTTTAATGTGAAGAGGTCTTTGCAAAGTGCAGAAGAGACATTCAGAGTCTGAAATCGACTGATTTATAAATCTGTAGGCCGATATGGAGCTCTCAGATATTTGTGAATCTGTGGATTTGTTCTCAATTATAAAAACTTTTTGCAGAACAGATATTGGACAGAAGTTTTTCCACGCAGCAGAATTATCGATATGCATTTCCCAAACTTCCTTAAAAAAACATAAAACAATCTCCGTCGTGCACATTCAGCTCCGTCCAAACAGCCAAATGGATTTAAAGCATGTCAACGTCGCTCTCATTCTTTGGTTTTCAAAGCTCCTGCAGCATCAGCAGGAACGTGAGGCTGAAAGTGTGAAGGAGAAACACACAGATAAAAAACACAAAATCCCATTCACGCCTCCCACACAGGCGACGGAGGTACAGAGACAAAGACAGAGCAGAAACCTGTGTGCTCCGTCAGCGGTTTGAAAAGGAGGAAGGTAACCGTCTTCCTCTAATTCACTGAAGCTCTGAGATTAAACTGGGAACAAAAACTCGACTGTGTGGAGGAAAAACGGTAAAAACAAGCCCACAAAATGATCACATCAGAGAACATCTTCAGCTGTAGATCAATTAAACCACAACTCAGTGATTTCTTCAGCAGCTGCTGAGCTCTGAAGTTTCTGCTTCACAAACATGGAGGTTTTATTTGAAGGAAAACTTCTTTAAATACTTTCTTAACTGAAAATGAGTGAAGCATTAAATCTGAGAGGTGACTCTGAAGTTTAGCTCCTCAAGGTCAAGATCAAGAACTTGATGGAAGTTTTCTTAAAGTCTGATTTAAACCGGTGCTGGTTTGGAGCCGGTGACCCTCGCTGGTCTACAAGAAAGAACCGCTTTCATCGGGGGCTGGAGCGGGGTTATCGTGCCCAAAATAAAAACACACAAAACCACACAGTGACGTTATGACAAGGCTCTTTTAGCGGCCTGAAGTGAAAATCTAAATCTTTGCTACTTGTAGAAATGGGAGTAATTTGTGATCTTATCAGACTTTTCTCGAGCCCTCGGAGATCCAATCAAAGCTGCAAATGTTTCTGTGTTTGTTTAAATTTGATTCTCATGCTGGCAGAACTCGACTCGGCGACCTTTTGTCTACGAGCTACAGAAGCAGAAGTTTTGATTTATAGCAGCAAACAATGTCATCCCAGAGGAGAGATGAAATCTTATTTCAGGAACACAAAACACAGAAAACAGTTTCTCCATCAGAGATTACTCAACAGCCACTCAGAGTTACACAAACTGTCATTATAATTTATCTGTGAACACAAAGACTGCAGACGGAGACGACATGTAAACAACACGCAGGGGAAACTTCTACTTTAGATGTATTTGTGTCCTGGAAAGCCGTATTTTAGCCAACTTCATTTACAGAAGAATAAAAACCATGTCGTCAAGATTTCACTGCATGATTACAGTTTATGTAGAAACTCTTTTTAAACCGTCAATCATAAAGTTTGAAAAGAGTTTCATCCGACCCTGCAGAAGATAGATCCAGAATAAGTAAACATTTACAGAAAAAATCAACAAAATGATGAGTTTGAATGCAAAAAACTTTGTCTAATTATATTTTAATATGCCTAAAAGTAAAATCAAATCATTTCATTTTATTAGTCTTCTACAGTCTCTGTTACTCGGGTTAAAGATTTCTGCCTCTTAAAAAGACGTTTTTCTTACCACTGTAACTTTGCTGAATGTTGGGTTAACGTTGGGTCTTTGTAATTTAACAAAGAGATAACATTTGTTATGAATGTAATCTAAACAAATAAAGATTGATGGATTGAAAAGTTGTATTAAATGTGCCCAGGGTTCAAACATCTTAAAGAGACACTGTTTGGAAAGATGTAAATAAGCACGCTGTTGGCTTATTAGTTTGCAGATATCTGACTAAAGTCTAAGTTAGTTTCACTTCATGTTGTTAGTAATAAAACAAATCACACTAAACTTCGTTTGACATGTTTTGGGAATCTCCCTCTCACATTGGAGCTTCAGAAACCAGACAACACACAAATTCAGTTACAAAGAGTTTAATCCCAAAAATACTTGTGTCTTTTTTTTCATTCCAGCTCGTCGTACATTGTTTGGTCTCGCTGTATCTTGGCTGTAACTCCACACGGTATAATTCACATCGTCTGATGTAGAGGCTGACATGCAACGTTGAACACAGCTCGACTGATTTCTGCAGGAAGAGGTCGCCACGTTCATGTGCGGAATATTATATTTAGACCATTAAGCTTAAACTCAGGTCGGCCCCCTTGTGGTTATTATATGTATGGCACGTTGCATTCTGAGATGTTGAATGATCTTAAAATTAACCTTAAAAAAAAACAGTTATCATTTCAAATCCAGAAAATCTGAGCTGAAGAAGCTGAAGTCGATCCTCTTTTTCTTTTTCTGTTTTGACATTTAACAACAGTCCATAAAACATTCAACGGTCCGCTCGTTCAAGACTATATGCTAAAGTCTAACACTTTTTCTGAACTTTTCTGCAAGCGTTTTAATATTGTATTGAGTTTGATTTTTTCAGGTATTTGTGTTCGATCTCTCTTTACGCTGACGACTATGTGTTATTCTTTTGGAAGTTAGCACATTCCTTTGTTCCTGCATTTGCTATAAAGTCTTATAATGACATAAAACTACAAAATGACACTGTTGTTAGAACAAAGAGTTATTTTGAAGACGCTAAAGCAGCAACTTCTAGTCTGTTTGTATGATGATTTAACTCTGTAGCGATCCTGTAACTACAAGAAACATGAGAATCTAGTTTTCTCTCTCTCTGAGTTAAAACTATGGAAAAACTCTTTACAAGTTTTCTGCAGCTACTCACCATCGTTTGTGCAACTACAAACTAAAGCTGAGAAATATTTTGGCAACTTGTTGTGAGAACCGAGGCTTCAAACAGAGAGCTACATGAACATTTAAGGCTGAAAAAGATAAAGTGTAACAGTCACAATCAGGCAGAAATTCAGTCACCCGCACAGCTCGAACCCTCCAATAACTCTTCTGCCAGAGGTTTGATCAAAGATGGTTTCTCTGAATCTCAAAGTGCAATCTGAACATGCGTCATCTTAGACCACAGAAAGTTTCCCTGTATAATTATTTGTTTCTAAAAACAGCATCACGTCATATATTATTCCAAATCCTGCTAAATCAATCAAAAACACGAACAAAAAAAAACGAAACAATAACAGGACGGAGGAGATGGAGGTGTCATCTCGGGGGAATCATCTTTGGTGTAACACCGTCTCACAGCTCTACACAGCAGCCTGCGCTCCGGTGCATCTCTTATCACATTTACAGTCAACAGTGTGCACAGCACATCAACACGCAGCTTCAGGGAGATCTGCTCTTGAAAAACATCTCGTCTAATAAACAGTCTAAACACTCAGGCCAAACCTTTAGCTATGATTGCTTTCATTCATATTTATATTTTAGGATTACTTCCACTGCAGAAAAGATGTTTGTAAATGGAGTTCAGGGCAGTTTCTGTCATTTAACATTCATATATAGAATCTAATGATAATATTTGTGTTTTGATCTCATGTAGCAGCACTATAAATATATATATGGACTTGCAGAGTGTCTGTAGAGATAAGTCCATCACTGCCTCTTTTTCTTCTGTTTCAGGCTCTTCCTCCTCTTCACGATCATCTCATACAGTTTGTCCATGCCCTCGTGCAGCCCCTCTCCGATGATGGCGCAGGCTGGTTGGACGTGGTACGGGGTGGAGGGGCTCAGCTCGGCCAGAGCCAGCTGCCTCTCGATCTCCTCCACATCCAGCGCCCGCGGCAGGTCCTGTTTGTTGGCGATGACCAGCAGGGGGGTCCCCTGATTCTCCGAGAAGCGCGTGATCTTGTGCAGCTCGGTCCGGGCCTCCTCCAGCCTCTCTGCGTCCACGGAGTCCACCACGTACACGATCCCGTCCGTGCAGCGGCTGTAGGGCTTCCACAGGGGCCGCAGCTTCTCCTGGCCCCCAACGTCCCAGAAGTGACAGCTGATGCCCCGGGAGGCCCCCGCGCCGCCGAGCCGGATCCGCTCCGTGTTGAAGCCGATGGTTGGCACAGTGTTGACAAACTCGTTAAATTTGAGCCGGTAGAGCACGGTGGTTTTCCCCGCAGAGTCCAAACCGAGCATGACTATGTGCAAAGACTGAAAGGCACCCAGATTGGTGAAACTGTTCCCCATCTTGCAGCTCGTGAAGGAGGGACTCCCACTGCCCTGATATCACCGCACGAGACGCTTAAATGTCCCAGGAGGGATCCATAAACGCGCAGACACCTCTGATCCGCTCCTCAGCAGCTGTGCAGGGCGCAGCCCCTCGTTGCGCGGAGGCACTCCGGCAGCCAGACACGCCGCAGCATCATCATCCTCCTCCTGGACTCACTCCAGCAGCACCGAGTGTCCACAAACAGCTTTTACCGCGCGCAGAGCTGTCCAAACGCGCAAATTACGCACGGCTGAATGTCACATCATGCCTCTGCATCTCTGTGTGTGTCTGTGTGTGTGTGTGTGTGTGTGTCTCCTTCATGTAGTAACACACAGCGTGATGGAGTGTGACGCGGGGATCAGCCTCCAAACGCCTCCATGAAAAATGCATCAAGTTCAAGTAGACGATACAAAATAAGACTTCCGGTTTAGCCACAAAATGAAAGCCTCTTCTATCAAATAAACCCGCAGTAAAGTAGAGGAGAGTCTTATTCTGAAGGAAGGTTAGTCAGTGTGTGGTTTTAAGAGTTTCCTCTGCGCACTGAGCCACGGAGCTGTCGGAGCTGCAGAAAGTCTGACACCTAGTGGTGAAATATGAGAACTAACACAATAACTGTAGGTCACTTCACAATAAGATAAGAGAAGCTACTATAGTGAATATATTATAAAGATTTAGGTTCTTATAAATACAGAGGATGCTAGGATTGATTGTATTATTATTTTTTATTTGATATGCCTCTCTCTTCTTCTCTTCTTTGGATTTCACATTAATTTGTGCTGCCTGTGCACTGCCCAGATAATCCATGAATTCATCCTGAGATCCATGTTGAAGTAGCTGCATGGTGCTTAATCATAACACTCATGCTCATGCAACGTTTCTCATTTCTTCCACTAGATGGCAGCAAAACATTTCACATCAGTCAGAGGAAAGTTGTAGTGGTTTAGAGTTTCAAACATTTACAGTTTTTGAGGCGACTTTGGTGAATCAGGAACAAAAACTACATTAATTATTTTGGTACAAAGAGAAGCTACTGCAAGTCTTTGCATCCTGGAAGATGTTTCTCTCCCTCCTTACTCCTTATCCAAGTGTCCCAGAGAGTCTTAAACTGTATTGCATAGATTTATAATTCTTTATATCTGCAGCTGCACTCTCACATCTAAAGTTTCATCTCATCTAACATGCCACAGAGATCAAGCTGCATATACATGGTAGTCAAGTTTCCACAGAGTGTTTGTTTTTATCTGTTTGAAAAAGACTGTGAGTCTGTTCATGAAGATGCTAACCCAGAATCCTCTGCACCAAGGGAACCGGTTTCTAAGGATTTCTACAGTTTGCAAAAACAAGATGTGTGACCGAGGAATCAGAATGATGCAATAAGTCTTAAAGGTTTAGAAAGAGATAAATAATTACATAAATAAAGTAATAAATGTGAACTTACCCTGATCAGGCATGTTGTGGGCGTGGTCACACCAGGTTTGATTGACAGCTGCTTGTTGCTTTTATTGCACCTGTTACATCAGAATCCCACGTATTGTCTTTAAAACAAAAGAACAAAACGTGACTGTTTTCTTACAGGAGGTGACTCAGTTTAATGATTTCTCTGCAGTAGAAAAACAGATAATTTCTCTAAACTACACTGAAGAAGTTCATGGAGCTTTTTCATCATCTCCCTCCATTTTCTGCCTGGCATTGCATCGGATGAGAGTGCATCAACAGCATGTTGAACATTCAGGCATTCGTACTGCTCCGCTGTGTTTGTGTGTGCGTTTTTAACCACTTGTATCCTGATGTAGTCTGGTACTTCAAATTGATTTGCAACACACTTTCAGACACGACGCAGAGCCAATTAACGCGTCTGGTTTGTTTCACTCTGACGGACAAATAGCCTTTAATGCCTTAACAGGATCGATGGCTGGGTGGACGAGGAAAGAAAACAAATAAAGGACCAAAAAGACGACAAGAAAATATGTCCTGCTACTGCTGGAACCCAAATATCACTGACAACACTGTAGATCAACATCCTCTTAATAAGACACTTTCTTTTTTGTTGCATCACTTGATGTGGTTAGAACAGATGTATCGATGTTTGTCTCAGTCAGTATCTTAACATCGAGCTCAGACAGTGAACTTCTTCTTTGCTTGGTGAAACTTGCATCCTCAAATTTGCAGGAAAAACAGTTTTAATGACTTCAGACGTAGATTTCACAGCTGGCTTAACAAATTAACCATTCAGACCGCATTTTAATCCTCCTCTCTTTTGCCTTTTGAACGGCAAAGACAGCATGCACCAATCTCTAAGTGAACATGAAACCAAAGGAACAAAGTGAATTTAGCTCCTTCTTGTTTTTTTTTTTTACCTTTTTCTACTTGAGTCTTGTCCTGCACATCTCACAGTCTCTGCAGCGGTTTTATTAGTAGCTTTACTTTGTTGACCTCAGCAAACTGCACACAAATGAAACCTGTAATGGGCCCTAATCAGCAGAATAAATGAAGAAGCATTAGCAGTAACAAGACGAGACAAAGGGGACAGCGGCCTCTAAACACACACAAACAGGCGACGACACAACCTGAGTCATCAAAGCGCTCTAATTGCCTCCGTCCTCCTCCTCCATCGATCGCCTCTCTAATGACTGTGTGAGATCAATACATTCTAAACAGGCTGTAAACATGTGCACACACACTCTTCACACACATCTCTCTCTCTAACCAGGCTGAGTCACCTGAGTGTCTCCTCATCCATAAAACACGAGGCTCCTTCACTGATTCTCCTCTAATGTATTCCTCTGTTCCTCAGGTAACAGATGACAGACGCTAACAGATGTGGACGAAGGTTAAAGGAAACAAAATGTGTTCTTTAACAATCTGCTCGGCCCTCAGAGACGTCCCACTTCAACATGGAGTCTGCAGAAGTGTAGTATATGAAGCAGACAGCGTCCACACAGAGGTGAGGGGAGAGGACTAAATTAAGCTTTCTGTAAAAAAAAAAAGAGGCAAAACAGAGCGAGGTTAGTGATCGAACTGCAGAACAAATGGGAAGGGTTTTCCTGAAGGATCCAAGGTTTCACTTTTTATTACTAAACCCAAGAGAGGTGACTTCATGAACCCTTTGAGGAACCTATAATCCTAACTTTACATCATCATAAACATTAAAAACCACCAAACCTGGAGATCCATAGTTTGAATAAATGACATCTCAAAGGTAAACAATGTGCCAGATCATGTGGTGGAGTTACTTTGACGTGTAATGAAATAGAAGAAAAAGAAGCAGTGTGAGATGTGATTAAACAAAAGCAGATATTGGAGTTTTATTTTTTGGGCCGTTTCATCTTTGAAAAGCTTTTCACATTCTGCAGATTCACAAGGTGAAGCCCGCCCCGCCTGGCCTCTCTCTCTGCTGATCCTCAGCAGATGAAACGGACCCGACGGCTCGCCCAGAAGCTTTTCATCTCACCACCTGCCTCGCAATTTCAAAAAGCACGACGAGGACGGCCAATTTGATCTGAATTCACGCAGGAAAGAGAAGCGTGCAGCATCAACGATTTCCTCTCATTTGTCTGATTTCAGAGACGAGGAGCACAATGACACCTGTGATGCTCCGATGGCAGGCCAGATTGCCTCAAACCGACACGTTCAATCTGTTAAAACTGTGCACTTAGATATGGGAACAGGATGCATCTGGAGAATTTGGTGATTTCAACGCTCTTGAGGAGTTGTTTGAGGCGATGAGAACACTCTGATCTGCTCCAGCATCCCTGTAGAGATACCAGGTTAGACGGCTTTGATACCTTTTTTATCTCCCTGTGATTATTTCTCTCAGTGTGAGGCAATTTACACACTCGCCTTTAAAAAGCACGTTATTAAAACCTCACTAAAGAGAGAGTTTTATCGCCTCGTTCACTGTGAAACATTCAGCTTTAAGTCCCAGTTTGGTGTCGTTTCCCAGAGACGAGCAGGAATGTGGAGGGTTACTCATCGAGAAGCAAAGGACGACTCTGTCAAGGTGGCCTGTCCTCTGAGGCTGAATAATTATCTGCTTTAATTAAAGCACATTGAAGTGTGTGTGTGTGTGTGTGTGTGTGTGTGTGTGTGTGTGTGTGTGTGTGTGTGTGTGTGTGTGTGTGTGTGTGTAAAGGACTTGCTGGGAAAGAGAGCAAAACGGAGAGAGGGATTTTTTCTGTGCAGTCATGTGTGATGTTTGTGCATGCATTAGCACATATGATCGTTTGTGCATTCATGTGTGATATTTGGATATTTTCTCTCTCTTTGTGTGTGTGTGTGTGTGTGTGTGTGTGTGTGTGTGTGTGTTTACACAAAGGAATCTGCAGTGGAAAACATTTAATGAACGCTCTTGTGCAGAAAGAATCCCAGTCCAGACGTGATTTGCAAACTCGTGGAGGTGGAAATCATTGGTCGACCCCGTGCTAACGTGTGTTTTCTGTCTCACTCGGACTCCGAGGAGAAGCCGAGTGTCACCCAGGAGGACGGAGACAATCAAATGTGTCGTCTTACCACCAGCAGAAGAAGAGTTTGAAGTCATCGTAGCTGCAGGTTTTTCGACGGTCTGGGCTGCAGAGGCGGAGTGAGGGTGGATTCACGGTGGCTAGAAAAGAAGCAGACCTGAAATACGCTGAATGATTAGATTATAATGATTCAATTAAAAAAAACAACTTCTAAAAACACAAAGAAAAGGATCGTTACGACACTTTGCTTTCACGTTTCAGGTTTATTGAAACTCTGAACAGATTTCAGATGTGCGACCCGTCACAGGTGATCCGACGTCACTGCGTCACGCCGTTCAGTACAAATATAAAGAAACTCCTCGCACGTTTTCTGTCCAAACTCCAAACAGATACAAGAACACCGCAGCAGACAAAACAAGACCAAGAAACACAACAAAGCTGAATGATTAAACCTGCAGAGGTCACAAAGAAAGACGAAAACATCTGAAACCATGAACCAAAGAAAAGACGTCTTTAAATACTGAAAACTGAAAACTTTGTGATACTTTTTACTTTTCTGAAGACGTGATCAGTGTGTCTTTATTTAAACTCAAACACCTGATCAATATCAATGTGTAATCAAGCCAGAGACATTTTTAAAGTTAGGCTCTGAGATGTCAGAGAGTTAAGAAAATTCTAAATTTGTCGGGGCGTCTGTGGCCTAGTGGTTAGAGGGCTCGACCTGTGCCTCCTTTTCCCGCATGTCAATCCCCGCTCTCACTGTCCCAGATTTCTGACTCTTCCCACTGTCCTGTCTCTACAAGAGAAGAAAAGAATCTTGGGAAGTTAGCCCAGATAGCCTAGCGGTAATCTTGTGCGCCTCATGTACAGTAGCTGTAGTCCTCGTTCCTTGGGTTTGAATCCGACCCCCACCCTCTCCTCCCAACGTTTCCTGTCTCTCTTCAGCGGTCTGATCTAGTAAAGGCAACAATCGCCCAAAAATACACCTTAAAAGTAAGCTCGTCACTGTGGAGGTGTGCACTTTCTGCACAAATGAATGCAAGAAATCCTTAGCATTAGCATGCCAACTAGCTGGTTGGCTAATTATGTCTATTGAGCGGCTGAAACACGATGGAAACGAGTTGCACACAAAGACAATCCAAACCAAACGTAGGCAACAATAACACTGTTGGTTAATCAACATCTGTATCGTATTGAAAGTATAAAAAATAGAACTATATGGTCTACAAACACTGTACCTTTACTGCATGGACCTCACTGAGTCACATGAAAAGTTAGCTTTCAGCTAATAGTTTTTGGCAAGCTAATTACTGACAGAATGCTCTGACTGTATGAAACATTTTCATTGCAGATGTTTTAAAGACGTCTGCAGTGTCTTTGTTGCAGAAATACTCCAGGGATAGGCAGTGAAAACATGCATGTCAGAAGTGGAGAGAGAAGACGCTAATGTAAAAATGTAGCCAGCAAACATAGGCCAAGTTTGTGAGCTCGCTCGGCTGAGTCTCAGGTGTGAAAGTGTTTAAAGTTCACAGTTTGTGTGGTTGTGTACCGCAGCGGTTGAGGTTTCTGATGTTGTCCTGAGGGAGATGTGTTAGAAGAAATGGAAGTAATCGGAGAAAGTTTAAAAAGAAAAGAAAAACAGCTTCAGACAATAATACTAAAGGATAACAAAAAGATAACAAAAGAAAGACAAAGAGAAATGAGACGGATAAAGGGCGAGGTAGAAAAGAGAGAAGGAAGAGGGAAGCAAACATGGATATAACAAACACAAAGAGGCGGATTTTCTCCGGGTCGACAAAAGCCAGAAATTGGCCAACGACGTCTTTTAGTCCGGCCCCTTATTAGAGCCGATCGTAACAGTACGATTCAAATCCAATGCTCTGTACTGAAACAGGCCGTATGATTATGACCTGAAGGTCCACAGCGGAGGAAAAGCGCAGAGAATTGCCGGATATTCTCAATCAGCCGGTCAAAGGTTTGATTGACAGAAAATGTTGTTTCCTGTCAAACGAATGTTCCAGCGTCAGCTAAACTCCCCAGAAGAATCCGAGGACCGAGACGTACTAAATCCAATATCGTCATGACGATCTGTCAAAGACAAATCTTTAAAAGTGTCCTCCAGTCGGATGAAAACACTCAAACGGCAAAATCTCCGTATCCGGTTGGACAAAAGGCGGAACTTCTGAGTATATCGAGGCAGTTGACGAGGATTATCGTACCGGTCAGGTGTTTCCACCTCTTAGTGATGGGGTTCCTCATCTTGTCCAGGCCCAGGTGGAGCTCCTGGATCACGTCTCGGTAGCTGTCGCCCACATGGGCCGCCCACGTCAGGAGGAAGTCGTAGGCTGGCTTCCACATGGACTGAAGGGGAAGGAGGTCAGAGACAGAGAAAAGAAACAGGTTTTAACGTGCAGAAGGCAACAGATTGGATATAAAGGCTAAAAACCTAATGGTTGTACCCTGAAGATAACTCATTGAAACTAAAACATCTGCATTAAAACATTTGATCCTTTTTAGTCTTTTGCCTGTTTGTGGATTTATTTGCGTTTGTCTGACCTGCGGCCGATTATTCCAGACTTTTAAAACTCTCTGCAGTATTTTCCACGTTCTCTCACCTCGTTATCCAACAGCCCGTTCTTGTCGCGGTGCGGAGCCTCGTAAGCTTCCATCTGCTGTCGGGACACTCGAGCGAGTTTCTCGGCCAGTTCCCTCCACCGAGACGCCACCTCCACCGCTGTTGTCAACAAGACGAAATCCAGGACCAGTCTGGCAACCAAACCTTGGCAATCCATCTTCAGCAACGCCTGAAAGCAGAAGGAATAAACAAGCTCAAGTCCATTTAGCATTTACCTAAGCGGTTCTGTCCTGTAGACCAGCAGGGACTTGGTGCTACAGTAGAACTGGTTTTCCTGGGTCAGAGCGAGATCTTTGGCTGTCTAAACACAAAGACCTGGAGCTAGATTAGGCACTGGAACTGGCTTGGTGGAATCAGATGCTTTAAATTTGATTGTTTTTTTTGTGGCTTATCGGGGAAAAAATAACCTCCATGGTACAAGAATCAACATGAAGATTATAGAAGGCAAGCTTGGAGGAATATATTGTGTTTAGTTTCCTCCAGCCTCGTTAATCTGCACATATTTGTGAAAGGTGAGAAGGTCAAAAAAACAGCGAGTCTAAATGGAGTTAATTATAATCACTTTTGTACAAGAATGAAAGTTTAGATTTGTGCAGAAAATGTTAATCCCCATGTCTCTTAACGACGAGCACTTCCAAAAAAGAGATCTTTCCCTTTCAAACGGTTTCATTTGGGTTCTTTTTAGAGGCTTCATGGGGTAAAAATATGCACTGTATCACAATGCTAACATGAGGATTTTAAAAGTCAACACTCATGTAGAAGAAAACGTGGTTTCAGTTTACGTTAATCCTCACATGATCCCTAAAATATTCCCGGTTGGAAAAGGCTTTTCTCCTCAAACCCATTCAGATTTGCTGTTTGTGTTTTCGGTGCTGAATTGTGAACATAAAAGCTAAAAAGAAAATCTGCTCCTAAAGCAAAAACAACCGTCTTTATGTGAGGGTATAATCCCAGTCACGTCCCTCAGGCTGCTGCCGCTGCTGTTAATACGCTCTCATTCAGCTGACCCGGTTAAATGAGGGTTAAAAACTAGCGAGCATTAAAAGCAGCTGACTGGAAAAACACACTGCAGGCAAGATTTTCTTGAAAAGAAGCACAACAGCCACCGAGCAGTTCTTCCTTCATACTCAGACAAAATATTGCAGTGTGTGCATGTGTGTGTGTGTGTGTGTGTGTGTGTGTGTGTGTCAGTGTGTGTGTCCATCCAGAAATAAGGTTTTGGCTCACACACACACACAGGGGTCTTAAACATTGCAGCCTCTCTAAAGTGCTGCTCTGTCCTGTGGTGATACCTTTCAGATTCTTAGCAGGGAGGTTTTCCCAAGCCGTCAGTCAAAGACAGCTGCACACACACACACACACACACACACACACACACACACACACACACGCAAACACCCCCACACACTCACGCTGAAGGACAGGGTTTCACTTTAAGACGGACGTGTGTGTGTGACAAAAAATTAAAATATAATAATATGTTCAATTATGGAGTTTTGCTGAATGGAGCTCAAGAGGTCACTAAACCTGTCAGTCAGCTGCAGCTTTAAAGAAACACTGCACACACACACACACCCACCCACACACACAAAGTCTAGAGTCCCCTAAACACTCAAACCTGAAACAAAAAGACCAAGTTTCCCACTGAGTTCTCTCCCTGTCACTCAGAGAAACTCTAACTTATATTAAGAATCTGTATTTGACTTCTAATTACACGACTGAAACACTCAAACTAAGATGAATCCATTTATTTAAAAGAAGTCTGGGGCTGAATTTGTGGATTAAAACAACCAAAAACATCAAGCAGACCAATCAAAGCCTTTCTTCATTATCGTCAGAGAGCTTCTGTTAAACTTGAGACTAAACATGTTAACACAAATCTGTTTAGAGGTTACTTTGGTATGTTGTGTTTTCTGGAGCTGGTGAAGCATCTCTGTGTACATTCATATAGATTCAAACATGCCACTTTGCAGCCTGCCGGTTAAAAGCACGTTTAAGATTTAACTCAAAGAGAAGACAGAAAAATCCTCATTATTCTGAGGTCACGTCATTTACATTTATTTATCATCCATTTTAAAATTGTATTTTACTTCTTTTTCATCTTTCATCTTTTGAACAATGAACCGCAGCGCTGCAATAAAGTGAATTAACCTGGATGACCTCTTTACAAACACACACACTGACACACACACCTCTCTCTCTCCCTGTCTGTCTTTATGTCTCTTCACCACCTGGTGAACGAGCATTTTGGCCTTCTGCTGATTCATTCTTCACACAGGCTCTAAATATAGACACACACAGACACACACACACAGACACACACACTAACGCATGTCAGGGTTCAACACTTGACATGGGCATGATGCGTTCAAATGCAAATCAGGAGCTAAACGTGTTGTTTAAGCCGGAAAGGATTAAAGCAGGAGGCATGGTGAGGTAACAGGAAGCGAGTCAGGAGGTTGATAACCAATGCAACATTTAGGAGAGTTTTTAATTTTATGCCCTCTCTTATAAAATCTGCACTACACAAAAATAAAGATCTCTACATCGATTTCTCAGCTTCCAGCCTGTTTGTGTTCGATGTTTCAACGTTATTTAATACCAGGATGATTCTGTTCTAAAAATAGACATCATTCTGCTCGGTGAGAGACCGGGAAAAAATATGAAAAACACAAGATCGTGACGACCTGCAGGGAGCCCCGGAGCAGACGGACAGACGGGGCTGACAGCTGAGCGAGCGGCTGTCAGCGAAATGAGCTTCAACAGGAGGAAGGGAAGGGGGGGGGAGTTAGACTGACAGGTAGGAAAGAGAAAAGAGAAAGAGAGAGGGGCATAGGAAGAAATATAACACAAAAAGACAGGGAGGTTTTAAATGCTCTTTGCTTTTTAAAAATGCAGCTTTTACAAATGATCGCTGACATTATTTCACACTGCAGGACGAAAGGGTTCAAGACTCTGATGATCACTAAGTCTTTGATAGCTTTATTATTATTTCCCTTTCTGACCACAGAAAGTTGAACTTGACCCGTAAAAACGTCTCGAGCACTGAACATCACTGACTCTGACGCCAGAGCTTAGACATTTGAAGTTTGGATGAGTATCACGTCAAGGACAAGTCTATAAAATGAACTTCAATGTCCCATTTTTTAATTATAGTTTTGCAAAGTCAGAAGAAGAAAAACAAGCCACGTAAAGTTTATAATATGGTAAATAATTTGTCGATACGTTCCTTGCCAAACCTTCTTTTTGAATCTTTATTTTGACCTTTTAACCTCTCTTTAGAAATCATTAAATCCATATATCTGTCCCCAGAAAAAATGACGCTCAGTATACATTTCCAAAGTCTTCAAGGTTTTTCAGAAACACACATATGCATCCTTTGTGGTCCAGGTTTCACAGCACGAATTGACAGGAGGATTAAATTTGTATGGACTCTCCTGACATTAAAGGTATATCTATTGCAAGCATTGTGGCTTGTTAGATTTTTGAAGGAGCTGTAAAGGATCTTGTGTTTCTCAGCCACAGCAAATTCTGCTTTAGCAAAAACCTGCAGCAGCAGTCATGTCAGTGGGGGTGCATGTTTTAAGGAAATGTAATTTTCCAAGATGTGCTGTTTTCTAACTGTTGAGTTTTGTGAGTCTACAAGCTGTGGATTGATTGGGTCGCCTTTAGGAGTGATTGGCCCCGCCTCTCTCTGCATGGATCTATTATTAAACAACACTCTCCTGGCCTTTCAGCCTTTCTCATGACAAGCACAAGGACGGGCTCTCATTTGTCCTCTGCCTTCGTAACCGAGCCCCGGCGTTAACAGATCTGCCGGGGCGGTGTCGGATGCTCCCCTAAGAGCCTGCAGCTCCTACTGATCGATGCCAGCTCACATTTCACATGAGAACACCTGTCGGCTGATGTGGAGACTTGATGAGCTGTGCTACACCCCCTGAAGACAAACCATGAGTGTTTGTTCTGCTGCAACACTTTCATTTTATCAGACAGGACGGAGAGCCAATTAAAGCCAGCGGGGTTAAGGTTGAAATATCTCTCTGCTGTGAGAGCTGCACAAACTTTCTATTCACTTTAGAAATATCTAAACTATACAACAAAAAAACATGTTTTTATCATAATTAACCAGACTCAAGACATCAGGATCAGCATGAAACTGTATAAATAAAAAAAGGTTGGGAAAATCCAGGATATCCTATCTTAGTTTAAGTAACAAAGACTGCACCTTGTGCTTCTGCAGTATCGCTACACAGGTGTGTCTGAACTCTTTTTTCTCCCCCTGTATCAGTTCTCACGTACGTCCCTACAAACCCATTTCATTTTTTCTGCCTCTACGCCTCCTCCTCTCTCGTTACAGAAGGAGGGACAAAGGAGCTACTTTATCCAGGCACACCCCCACCTCGGGTTCATCGATTCCCATTCAACCCTTCTATCCTTCCACTTGACATGAGATTACTTCTTTGAAATCTTTTCTAACACATTTTTGGTATTAATTACTCTAATTATTGTAGTTTGTTAACTTAAAAAGTTACACTGTACCTAATACTAACACAGTGTTTCCTGATAACACTCTTATTGGTGTGTTTATTCATGGATCAGCGTGGATCTGGGAATGTTTATTCCTGAAAGAGATCAAGGCATAACCGGATAAAAAGCCTTACTTTAGATAGAAGAGTGAATGTTTGCTAAATGAGGTCAGAGGTTCTGAATGTAGGAATGTTTTATTGATTAGCGATTGTATAAGCCAAGCTATTTATTCCTTTGAGGAAAAGATTTAGTAATTCAAGCCTGTGTGACTCACTGGACCCTGTTCCTGCGGCCTGATGACAATTTTCTGCTCTCTGAGGGAAATGTTGCGAAACACACATTCACACACATTTTGGAGGGTTTTACAACCAAAGTGCATCAGCAAACTGAAGCAGCGACTTCTTGCAGCAGATACAGCAAGTCTTAGATGTCTAGACGTAAAATCCAGGAGAAAATCAGCTTTAGTCGTGCTTGATCTGAGCGCAACATTTGACACAGTTCTCTGTGACATCCTTGGAGCTGGGGTCGGCCTGCAGGGCTCTGTGTTAAAACTGTTTACCTCGTATCTGGGAGAAAGAGACTTCTCAGGAGGAATGGAAAGTGCGCTTTTCCCCTTGAATCAATTAAAAGTGGCATCCCCCAAGGTTCAGTGTTAGGGCCTCTTTTATTGTCACTACAAACGCTACCTTTAGGCTGCATCTTTAACAAATAAAACGTTCAGTATCTCTATATGTGGATGACTCACTATTATACCTTTAAGTTTCAACTGTTTGTACCTGCCCAGTGATCATCCTCTTTAGCTGTTTAACTAAAATGCAAAGCTCGATAGCAAGATATGACCTTCAACTGCATGAAAACTAAACTGAATGTATGTTTGATCAGTGCACTTGGTCCCTGTCTGCAAATTTACACGAGGATAGAAATTCTTCTTTTTGGAAGCTTCTTGAAATTACACAAACAAGTAAGTTCTGTAGTGAAGGCCAGTTAAAAGTCTTGCAAATTTTAAACATGTTTGTTTCATAAGGACCTTGAAACAATTACCATTACTTTAATCAACACAGTTATCTTTTATTTTTCATGACTCATAACGCAGCTGTAGGAAGAAATTATGTTTTAGCATCTATGTCTTAAACTTGGGAACTTATGTCTGGGTTTAAAATTATGTATTTTATTTGTTTCTGCAACATAGAGAGAAATTTCAGATTATAGCAGACTACACCGTAAACCAGTGTAGACGTGGACAGTTCTTTCCACAACGATCAACAAGACACTTTCCTTGTCCCTGTAAGTGACAAAAGACTTTCTACGCTCAAAGAGTACATCACTGGACTGAATAGAAGGACATGCGAGGGTGTTCTCCATTTATTAGCCTGGAAATAAGAAAAAGAGGTCTTAGGAGTCAAGGATACAGCCTGGTTAAAAGATAAGAAAGACTAGACTACAAGCCTCAGAAGAAGTTAAAGGTAGCCGACTGGATAACAGCCCTCTATAAAGCATTAAAACATTCCTCTTTTCCCTTTAATTTTTTGGGTGAAGTCAAAGAGCTTTCAGCATTAAGCAAGAGGCTGTTGCAGGTGAGTTGCTCTGGAAACAGTGTAAGGAGAGAAGCATGAACAGCCAAATAAGTAGCACTCTTCTTTGCCCTGTCAAAGCAAGGGGCATTTTACCCCTGGCTGCTCCGATTGCCGCTGGCTGAAATTGCCCTGATCATGCGACAACAGTGCATGCACGCTTCGTCAGCCCTCCCTGGTTAAACTGTGTTTGGAGAAAGTACTTTGCTGAAGTACTTTTTGAATAATGGCGTCTGGCAAGCAAAGTGTCTCGGGACAATTTTGCTGGCCCCAGGGTGCCGACGCTGTCAGAGAAGAAAAACACAGCATCGAGGGCGGCATGCGTTTGCTTGACAGAGTTGTTTTTGCTAAAACTGCAGATGTTAACTTTTATTTCTGTGCATTTCTCCTCCAACCATCAACTCCCCCTCCTTCATTTTTCATGTGATGACTGCTTACCACCCCAGGCTGTAAGGCAAGTTGTTTACCATTCATGTGACTAAGCATAAGATCCCAAATCTCTAAGTTAACACACATCACAGTGTGCGAGCGCATTTTGAAAGAAATCATGTTGATGTAAAGCAGCAGAGAGGCACAAATCAAATCAGACAGCTGACTGTTTAGGAAATTAGATTTGTGTTATTGTTTCATCTTAAATAATGCTTTGCAAACACGAGAAACTATCTGGGGACACTGACAAAAATGCTCCCTTTCTATTGCACATTATTTGGGCTGAAAAGCTGCTTCTGCATTAGTGTTTTAATAATGGCAGACACTTTTCTTTGACATTTATCTGCGCAGTAAATCCTTTTACAGAGCATGAATGTTCTCTAAAAAATGTATGATTTGGGAATATAGAGGGGAGTTGTGTAATTTCAACCGTTGGACACTGTATTCTGTTCAAGGACAATGAAGTGATTGTGTACTTGCCCTGCTTTTCTGAGAAATCAGAAAAATAGAAATAGTCATGAAATGGTAACAGTTTGTCTTGTTTTTCTTTAGTTTTGGTGCCATGTGAGTAAAAAATATCTGGTTAATTGATTACTGAATAATAACAAAAGGAGTAGAAATTGCCTGTGAGTATTCTGTAATGACCAGCAGGGGAATTTACACTCCCTGTGTAGGCTTTAGCCTTTAAGGTTTCCAGAGTAAATATTCAGGCTTGTGCTGACATTTTTACTTCTGTAGGAATTCTGTATCAAAGCAACCTGATTCAGCTCTCTATAGTGCTCATAGCTGGGCATTGTCAGGTTGAAAAAGAAAGCTTTGGTCGGGGGGAAGAAAGGTAGGCTTTAGTAGTTTCTCCCTTTGGGGAAAAAAGGTTGAGCTTTACGGTTAGTGACTGAATAAGGACAAGGCTTAAGGCCACATTAAAGCAGTAGAGAGAGTGTCCTCAAACTCCTTTAGTTTTCCTTTCTACGCTAAAAGCAAAGCTTTCATCCAAATGTTCAGGATTCATGCTAACACTTGCTCACAGGTGCAAGAAAAGTTGATTTATCAAGGAAAAACTATATGAGAGGGATGACAGAGAACTTCAAGGCAACCTTGTGCCAGGTCGGTTTAAAATTTTCTTCAGCTAATAACGTATCTAACATGGCATCATTACTTTGTAAAACAAGAAATTAATATAGTAAAAGAGTATAAAGTATAAATATAAATAAATAAATGTTGTGCTTACCATCATGAGTTCCCTCTGGAATGATTTCCGCTCCTTATTCTCCATATTCGTACACTCCTCTTTGAGTTTCTCCAGAACCGATGCCACCTTCTCCGGCTCATTATCCAGCTCTGTCCGGCAAAAATAATTCAGTGGTAAATTCCCGTACCCCAGGGCATCTGCAAACGCCCTCCAGTTGCCCACGTTCTCCATTAAAACCGTCCTCACAGTTGCGTAAATGTAAGTAAGAAATTTGCAAGGCTTCAGGATCTGCTCAAGCAACATTGTGGTAGTCAGGTCCGGCCCACACCAATAGATAGGCTTGACTTTACCCAGAACTAAAACATTCTTGGCATGGACGAGACCCATCTTCCCCTGATAGTATCCAATGTACCACTCTTTGGTCCGCAGTTGCCCTCGCAGTTTGATTTTCTCCTCGCTGAGCAAAGCAATAACATCCCCCTTTTTGTATTCCAACAGATAGGTGCTCTTATGCTGCCTGATCACCGTTTTTATTAGCTTGCCAAATTTAAGATTGGTGATGCATCGGTCCTGAAATTTTGGGTATTTGGAAGTGACAGCCAATGGGGAGAGAACAATCTTATCCACCTCTTTCTTTTTCAGAAACCTCCTCTGACCTGTAATCCTCGCTCCCGTTTTTGGTGGCGGTGGTGGAGTTTGAACACAGAACTGGGTGAGGATACAGTCGAGGGCATCCTTGACTTGGACCCTGAGAGTAAAGTCTGAGATGCTGTTGGGGTTGTGTGATGTGATCATGTACAGGAGCCTGCTAACTTTCCCCAGTTTGAGCTGAAATCCCTGAATCACCCCTGCACTCTCAGTTGTCTTCACCTGGTAGTTCGACATGTTGGAGTACAATCCCACCTGGAGGTCCTGAGGGTACCCCAGCACAAACTGGTGTTTCCCCCAGAGCTGGAGCGCTACGGGTGGAGCAGAGCTTGCCTGCCTGCCAACCTCACCTACCAACAAGGTCTTGGGGGCGCAGTCGTGACCAAACAGGGCCACAACTGTCTTAAAGGAAGGGTGGATGTGCTTTGGTCCATAGACACCGAGAGTTACTTTTCTCTGTACATGGTCCCAAACAGTCATATTGTGGCTGATATACTGTGACTGAACGACAACAGCCACATAAATACAAGGCTCCAGACTATCCAACTGCACCTGGACTGTATCCTTGTATATGTATGCATTGGGAATAGGTGTGTAAGGCCCTTCTTTGCAGTCACTCCGAACACAAAGCAACTCTGCAGTGCGACAACTTTCCTTTTTGACATTTACCGATACCTTCATCTCCAACGTAATAAAGGACTTTATTTCCATGTTGCTGAGCTTAATCTCCACCACAGGACTCACAGTGGAGCAGTGGTCAGTGTTGAGCTCCAGAGGAGGGTCTAGTAAGGCCTTCATTGAGATCTGCTGGTGGTCTCCATGGCTGACGTGGCCTTCAGGGATGTGGGCGCTGATGTGGGTGTCCGGAAGTTGAACAACTCCTCCGTTACTGTCCAGCCTGCACACAATGTTAGTCTCCACCGGTTGAGTCTGACCCCAACCAAGACTCTGGCCCAGCGAATCAAGATCATGACAAGACCTTGCTAGCTTTCTGTGGTTCAACCAAGCAGTCCTGAAGTCCTCTCTGCTCTGGAACTGCTCCGGTAAGGGAGCCTTAAGGCCTGTAAAGAATCCTGAAGAGGGTAAGGTTGGATTTGACTGCGCTTGGAGGACGGACAGTTCTGAGAGACTGTGGGAACGTTTACTCCTGAAAAACGAGTTATCCCTGGGGTGGTTTGTAAGAATGTCTTGGTTTGGGCTAGTTGGGGTAGTGTTGCTAATGTGGCAGTTGCTGAACCCATTGGTCATGATTGTATTGGTGTTAAAGTTGGAGCAAGATGATGGTGATGCCAGTGCATCAAAGAGAATAAGATCCGAGTTCCTGACACCGGTATCTTTGCAGTTTTGATCTAGCGGATGGTTAAACGGGTTCACAGAGACAGGACTGTTGACATAATTTGGGGAGGGTTTCGGCGTCATCCCAGTCCACTCCCCCAAACCTCCAAACTCCCTCGACCCGTCCTCATACACTTCCCCAAGACTGTCAATCATCCCACTGTCGCTAAGACAAGAGTTCCTGAAGTTGACCGGCTGGACGTAGGCGGCCGGGATGTAGCCCATTTCCGTGTTGTTGTGGGCGTACCACCACTCTCCACCTGACGTGTCCAGCACATAGAGGCGATCACCTTTGGAGAACTTCAGTGTTGTAAAGCTGCTGGGGCAATAATCCTTTATGGCAACCACTTCTTGAGCGGCGCCATAGGAGGCAGACGTGTCCAGCCTTAAGGCACTGGGAGAAGGCACTGAAAAGGAGAAAGATATTAGAAACCATCCCAATATAAACCATTAATGATGGTATTTTTCTTTTCTTGATTGTTAAGTATCTTTGAGGCTGTCATGGCCCTTCTTTAGATAAGTGCACTTAATCACTCACTGGCTGATTACTCAAAATACTGATATTAACAGAGCTTATCTCATCTTCAGACTCAGACATAATGGACCAATTTTACCAACGAGTTGATGGAACTAAAGACCAGACATAAAGCTTTATCTCAAAACTGGAAAAAATGAGTGGCTAAAATATTCCCGCGACATGAGAAAAACATATTTTCCATCCTTCTGAATGCATTTTTTTTTCAGATCACAAGGTAAATATCTGAGCAGTTGGACTGCATAATCCAATGCATAATTTACTATTTTTAGTTCACCTCATTAGCGTATATGGAGCATGTAAGCAAAGCTGTAATGGAATGCAACCAGTGAAGCGAAAAAAAGCCACAAAAAGAATAATAAATGAGTGATATAAAAGTGCAAGAGATGAAAAGCACAAAGTTAAATCAACATATATATTCCCTCTTAGGAAAAAATGGTTAAACACTTTGATTAATCAGTTCTTAATTAAATATTTAAGAACTTTCAGAACATGTTTTTCTCCTGTAGTTGAAAAATAATGAATGGCGGAACAGACCTTTGACATCACTGAGACTGGCTCCGGTGACCCCTTCACTGAGGTCTACGAGCGTCCCCTCAGATTTACAGCGAGGGAGGATGAGGTTGTTGTTCGTCACTCTGATGATTCGATGGGCAGCCATGGCCGGGTCTTACTGTAGCATCCTCTCATTGGCTGCTTTTCATCTGGAAGGAGAACAAACAAAGGATTTCAGGATTGGAAAGATCAGCCAATTTTTAAACACATCTGCACTCGGGCGTTCGACTGATAATCAAATCTGGAGAGACTTCACGCGGCGACACCGGAGTAGGAAGCTTCATTTTCTAGATCAGTAGCACAGCTAACAGATACAAAGTCAAAACTGTTAAAGCGGAAAATAAGGTTGATAAAATGTCACTGCATTTTTGAAGGAAGTCGATATGAAGGCTGTGGTTTGAAAAGAATGACGGTTGACTGAGGGAGAGTTTTTCTAAATCAATGAAAAAACCATGAGCGTTGAGCTGAGAAAGAAAGAGAATGAGAAATATGATGTAGGGAGGGGAAGAATCAAAAAGAAGGAAGAAATGAGAGCAAATCAGATTTCAGTTCTGAGTGACAGAGACAGAGAGGCAATACACTTCAAAGAATGAGGACAAAAAAATAACTCAAATATCAATTTAACATTTGTTGAACACCTGAACATGGACATTGCTTTAAGATGTTATTCACAAACTATAGACGTTAATCTGCTCTTCAGGTTTTAGGAATTTAACAAGATTTAGAGACCTGGCCGCAGGCTTCTGCACCCATTCAGGAAAGGATTAGTGAGGTAGACCACTGATTTAGCAATAGGCTGTGATTTCAGAGGGTGTAAAGTCTGGTATTACACGTTCAATTCGAGGTGAGATTTCTTCTGCCAAATTGTGTTTTTTTTCCCAGCGGATTGCCACAGTGTGAGACCCAGCCAGCAGGACAACTGTTTACCCGTTTCAGACGTCCGACTGCTGCTGTGGCTGTTTGTTTCTATCGTCTTGAATTCTTATAATGACTCGGTAGGCTGTGAAACTGAACTGCTCTTCTGGGATTTATGAAGTGGTCAGACTCGGATTCTGAATCTGATCTTATGATGCGAAGAAGAATCTCAAGAAACAGGACCACACTGTGTAATCAGAAATGGTTTCTGTTTCTGTTTGCAGTCCAAATCATATTGACCAATCACATATGAGCAGGCTTTAATTTTGAGCAGGAAAAGAGTCCATATGGAGAGCTAAAGAGGGGGAGGAACTGACAGAAATGTAATCTTTGAAACTATTGGCTATCATCAGATAAAAACTAGCTTGTTTGCCTTCAGAGAGCCAATCATTGTTTACTGCTCTGGCTGCATCTGCATCTCTGCCCTGCGTGTTTTAACTGTTTACATGTCTGCTTGTGTCAACCAAGTTTCCAATTTCCTCCTGAGATCTGAGCCGTGATTCAATTTGTGCATGAAAAGACAAAGTCAGCGGAGGCCTGTGATCTGATTAGAGTGGCAGCATGAGGCTGTTTTGCAGTAAAACGCTCTGTTCCCTTCAGTCACATCAGACTCTATTATTCCTGCAGGACGTGGAGAGCGGCAACATTTGCATTTGCACACTAATGATGACATTTTAATCTGATTAAAGCAGCATATGCTGCAGAGGCTCTCATGGTAATTCCTTTCAATGAGTGTCTTAATTAGAGCTTTAATACATGTAGCTGAATATTCACATGACACACAGATGCAGGTGTTTGTTTCACTCAATGAGTTACTCTTTATAGTCAGAGGTGAAAAGACATCAGTGACGCTTAGATTCATGGAGAGAAAGTTTGCATTTCTGTGCAATTTGTCCCTGAGGTGCACTCTGGGATGCAGAGCATGCAGCGAGGACAAAGTGAGTCTTGTCTAACCGCTGCATCTGTTCACCTGGGAGCTCGTGCTGAAAGCAAGTCAAACTCCTCCGAGGTGACGTTTCATTTTCCTGCTTGAGTCACCTCATCAATAAATCCCCTCCTCTCACTAAAAGAGGAGCACTCAGCAGGCAGCCGGAGCGTTTCTGTGAACAACAACAAGCTGGCATACAATGACAGTGTCACCGGCTTTGATATAAAAATGAGGAGAGCGTCCCTGAATGCAGCAGGAGGTGAGGACAGATCTGACAGAAACAGGCAGGGAGTAAAGAAAACGCAGGATTGGACGAAAACTCTTCAGGAGATGCAGATCAGAGAAAGCTGCAGATCCAAACTGAGCCTCCAGGAAGCTTTAAGTTTTCCTAAACTATCCCAGGAATTTATGAGGAAAACTGACAGAAGCTGTGATACCCTGCATGTAACCTTTTAGAGAATTGATTATTTAAAGACACAGAAGAAAAAGACAAAGTTTGTGCAGAATCGAGGGGAATGAACTTCATTTTACTTCAGTTTTACTTCATATTAACAGAGAAACTTTACAGAGGGAGAGGAAATGCGTTAAGAAGAAGCTTTCAGGGGATATAAAACATAAAGCGCTGCAGGGTTTGTGCATTAGTGGAACATTTACTCCCCCACTTGTGCATCAATATCGGAGCTGGTGAAATATTTTGTGTTATGAAGTCATTTCAGTCAGGACGGGGGCGCCGGGGAGTCGAAAGTTTAATTAGCCGAGAGTCGGCCGGTCCTAATCCCTGGATGAATGCAGCTATAATAACCATTTTCAGCAGCCATATGCTGGCCGAGTGTTTATCGCTTTTCCATCGTTTGAAATGAGCAGATTACAGGACAGAGAATGTGACCTGCATGTGAAAACCTCACACCAAAAGTATGTTACATTTATATTCAATCTATAGACGAGGTTCCTGTGTAAGCATTTAAAGGGGCAGAAATACAAAAGAAACTCAAAGAAAAGATTCAAAGAGCTGAAAGACCCTCAACCCAACATCAAACTATCCAACGACTCAGTCTGAGTCAAGATTCTTCCCCATTAGTGAAATAAAGTAAAACAAAAATAACTTTAGAGGCTTTAAGCTGATTCTACACATCTTAACATGCAAGAGGTGCCAAACTCTACTCATGTTTTCACAACATAAATATTCATCTGTGGATAAAACCACTAAAATATGGTCTCTTTTTTGTTGCCCGATTTTCTTTCTCCTGCCTAGATCATTAAGTTTGTTCAGTCCGTGCAACATTTTAATTTAAGCAATTTTAAATTTCTTCAGTCACAGAAAGTGAAAGAAAACGTGAAAAGTGCTGGACAGGTCACTTCTGCAGGCATGATTCAGTCCCCATGTCAGGGGCAGAAACACGTTGGGTTTCTTGAGCTTATCTCAGTCCGTCACTTTTTACTTTTTTGGCCTCTCAGTCGAGCAGAAGTCAAAGAAAACATGAAAAATTCATCAAAACGTCTCCTTTAAACTCATTTAATGTCAGCTCTGCAGGTGTAACTCAGTCCCGACTTCAGGGACAAAACAACACACATTTTAGTTTAATTGAGTCAGGTACAGAACTGAACGCTTCTGCTGTGGCCTGGAGTGATGCAGCTTTTCTCCCAGCATGCATCTGGGCTGGTCTGTTTTAAGTGTGCAACGCTGCAGCGAGAATGACAGAAGAAACGAACGTGACTTCAGGGAAGGAACGTCCTTGGTAGTTTGTCAAACTGCTAAAGTTTTTTCTGACTATTGTAATCATGCATGAGTTTAACCTCCTCTGAAGAAAGAATCCTGCTGGTTACAAAGACAAGTCGAGCTTTATTCACTCTGTACATCAGATGTGGCTGTAGCTTCTTAAATCTGCATTCTCTCCACTTTCAAGGATTTTTTAATTGAATTTCCCAATTTTTTAGACAAATGTCGTGGTCAGACGCTCCTGCATGCTGTGAAAGTAATCTTATGTCTCGCCCTAACGTCCGGGAGAAATATGAGGGACTGTAAGTGTTCCTGTTTGGCATGTGATCAGGTACATTAGTCTGCAGCAGCGCCGTGTCCTGACCGCCACTGTTCATCACCTGAGAAATTCAGCCGTAACAAATATTCCAATCTCTCCCCTCCAGATGAATCTTCAGGTAAATGAGCCCGCTAAGTGCTCCGTTTTTTTACGCCACGTCCACCTGCGCGCTGAAGGAGATTCTTCAGCTGGGAGAAAAGAAGAAGTGGCTTTTGAACGCCTCGCAGGTCAACCGTAGGGCATCAGGTAGCTTAGTTTCTAACAATAAGTGCTTTAAATGAAATATTTCACTTCCTACGTCTCTCTTTTAGGCAGAGGAAACAGCCGAGACGCTGTTAAAAGAGCATTTATAGATGATGTCAGAAAACTGGCTGTGAATGTACCGACGTGAGGAGTTCAAGGAAAATGAGAAAGCGGGAAATTGTCCCATTAGGCGTTATTTATAAGTCCAGAAAATGTCAGCACCTTTTTTTAACTGATGCTGAAATCATGTTGAAATATAAAGTGGGAACACAAATGAGTGATGCAATGCCGATAAAGCTCATGTGCACAAGTGATGCAGTCTAACAAACCGTAAATAGACTTGAGCTTGTTTACTTCTTTTCTCGTCCTCTGCCTACATAAAGCGCATAAAATTGGTTTGATAAAAGGGAAACCTAGAAAACCCCAACTTAGAGTTCTGGAGTCCTTGAACGCACCACAGAGGAAGTTGTCAAAACTTTTTTCTGCACAGTACCTACTGTTTAAACTTTATGACTTATATTTCTACACCGTGGCTTTGACACTTTAACTTAAGTAGAAGTACTTCTCCTCTTGTTGTGCGTGTTGCTGAGCGTCCTTTAATTACAAAATGAAGAACACCTTCACACAGAAATCGATGACACGCTGGTTTTCAGGCTAAGCCTCAAGGGGGGGAGGGGTATTAGTGGAGCTGTGTGCGTGAGAGAGCATGGAGGGTCTTTAGTGTCACTTTCAAATCAGTTTGTGTGTTTGTTAACGGGGAGAGAATATGAGGAGAGAGAGGAGGAGAGAGATGACAAATCAAAGAAACGGCGAGGAAGAATCAGAAGAAAGGATTGTAAACAGAAGTGGGAGCAAAATAAGAAGAGGAAATGGAGGTTAATGGAGCACAAAAAATATATATGAATCTGTGAATAAGGAGATGGAAGGGGGAGGGATGAAAGAGGAGGACAAGAGAAAGAGATAAAACGAGGAGGGGGGAGTGATGGGCAGAGGTGGACAAGAGGGAGGAAGAGGAAAACAACAGAGCAGAAAAAAATATGATGGAGATAGAGAAGATGGAGAGGAGGAGAGGCAGAACCCCGTCTCATTAAACAGAGTCTGCAGGCTGTGAGACAATGTGCGTGTGTGTGTGTGTGCGTGTGTGTGTGTGTGTGTGTGTGTGTTTTAAACCTTCAGGCTGCTGATAGAGAGGGAGGATTTTCAGCTTATCAGATGACCTTATTGGCCGAGCTGAGGAGGAGCGTGCAGGCGCGTGCATGTGAACACTTGACAAAACGCTCTCATTTGTCAATTTATCATTTCCAGTCTTCTTTTTTTTCATCTCAATCTGCTGCAGAACATTTTTTCTGCACCCAATCAGATTTGTTTTAAAGCTAATGTGTGAATGAATATGCAGAAGAAAATGTAGTTTGATTGAAATCTACCTTAACTTAAGTTGTTTACAGTCAGTAAACAACAATATCAAAGGGGATAAAGCAGCATAAACCCCGGACAAGAACAATAAAGCTCACTATTAGGCAATATTGACTCCAAAACAGCCTTTCAAACAATATGACAGCACTTCAGAATAATAACACATGTCAAGAATACTTTTAAAAAGTCAAAATGCACATTTAAAAAAACTACAAACTCAATGTTAGGCCGCTAAATCACATCATAACACAATTAAAAATGACCGTGGAGCCCCCAAATCTTAATTAATATAGGTGTATCATGGGATTTTTATTCTATTTTAATTAAGCCGAATTTCTATCCATGTATTTTTTGTCATCTTAGCCAAAAAATGATTTTTGTTTTAGTTTTAAAGATCATTTAAAGTGGTTTTAGTGTAAATTTAGCCGCGACGTGAACGGGATCCGGCTGCGTAAAGAATCATGACTACAGCACGAGGAGCAGAAAACTACAGGAACATTTTGACATTTTTCTTTCTAAGTCTCTGATCTTCAAAATGAGTTAGAAATGTGTTTACATCACAGTTAGGAGTCGTAGTGGGGACATTTTGCATAATTAATGAGCTAAAACTTGGAAGAAATCAAAAGGAGCAAAGTGATATTACAGAGATACGACTGAGGATTTTCATTTTAAATAAAGCCGAATTAATCACTGAACATTTTTCTGACAATACAGCGAATAAATTCAGTAAATAATGATTTAAAGGATAATTATTCATACTTCAGAGTTTATTAGGCGGCGTGGTAAACTGACCTCCGCCTGGCTGGTCGCCTGAACCCTCAGAGTAGGTGTGAAGTGACGGGAAGGTGAGCTGATGGAGAGCCCCTTTCTTCTTCTTCGTCTTCTTTTTCGCGTGTTTTCTCTCCTCATTTGTGGTAAAGATGAAAAAGCAGAAAAAAGGGGGAAAAAGTAATTTAAGATTTTAGTAAGATGTTGTTCTCAGTCCGAGAAGTTTAAAACGGTAAAGAAGTGTGCAGACGGTCCGGTTCACCGTCCGTCTCCTCTCCGGTCTGTGGGAGGACTGAAGGCGAGCTGGCTCCGCTGAAGCAGAGCATGTGACGTCAGATAAAGGGGCGGGGCCAAACGTACAAATTTGTGGTGTTCATACTAAGCTTGAGTATTTCTCTTTTTAACAACTGTACTAATAAATTCCGCTGCTTGTACTTAGCAGATTAAAACTTCATTAAATACATTTAGAACATTAAATGCTGCATTTTAATCGTAACAGCATTTTTTTTGTGTCTGGTAAGAGCTGTGAAGGATCCTAAAACTACATTCATCTTTGCTTCATGACCAAAAAATAGACAAATATCAATCACTTTAACTCGTTTTTTGTATTGTTGTTGTTTTGGATAATTTTGCAAGCTTCCATGTTCATTTAAAAACACAAAATATTAAAATAAATAACAGAAATAATTCAAACTCCACATCTACGTTGTTGTTACTTATGTTTCCCAGAGCGGTAAACTAAACTGAACTGGTCACTAGCATTTACAAATAACTGAGCATAAAAGCAACAAGGAAAGGCATTTAAAAAACCTTTTAAGTCCACACAACAGGTTTTAAAAATAAAGTTGCTTGGAGCTAGAGCTGGGTATTTCACATAACCTCACAATTCAATAAAAATTAAATTCTTTTTGATCAATATGCCTCGATATCAAATTAAATAATACGCATAGATGACAGAAATAACCAGATAACCAATCACAGTACCTTCTGATATTTGTTAAAAGTACAGTATGCAGAATACGACGGCACCCACAGTGCCCCCACTGGTGAGGGCTGTCATTACAACAGACATAATAAATCTCAGGATTTCCCTGAATCGATATTGTTAACCAGCCCGACTCGGATCTGTTAATAAGGCGCACTACGACTGCTGTTGTAACACACATCATGTTTTTATTTATCGCTCTAGTGGTGAGAAAGGGTTACCTAACGTCACAGAATTCATTAAAGTTGGATGAAAGAGCTTCTAATGTACGTTTTTATGCTTTCAATGGAAATCTCAGCATCTATAAAACACTTAAAAAGGCTGCATGAGTGTCTGTGAAAAAAAGGTTTCCCCTGCACTCAACAGAAAAAGCTTCAACGCAGAGACACACAGCTTTCATCAGTCCTCTTTCATCTCATTGACAAAACCCACTCAGACGACTCGTCCTCCCTGCTGCTGTCAGTGCAGAGCGGGGGGAAATGTTCTGCGGCTGACAGCGACTCCAAAAGACGACAAATCGAAGACAAAATGACTCGAAATGAGACAAAATGAAGAAATGCAGCCAAGGAGAGAAAAATAAAGAATGCTCACTAAGGCGATACAAATCTTACCCTGTGATTTATTTCCTTTCAGTGTCAACAGGTGGTGTTTCATTTTTATTTCTGGAAGTTGAAATAAAAGAAAAACAATTCAAATTCAAAGTTGTCATCCTCCTTTACGAGTGTGGTGACGTTTGTCAGGGAATATTTAAATACTTAAATACTTTAACATGCCCATTCTGTCAGGGTTAGCGTTGTTAAAGGGTTTATTTTCAGGTAGCAGCAGAAGAGGTCACGTTTAAAGGCAGCTGTAACCCTGACCTCTGGTACTTTCACGTGTTTGACGGAGACGATCAAGTGTTCGACATCTTTGACCTGCAAGTTCAGCCAAAAACAGCCTTCAAATGCTTCTATCTGCCACCGACGAATTCTACCATCGCATATTTAAAGATATCTAACTGCAAAGCAACCAGAGCTGAAGGATGATGTCACTCTGATCTGTGCAAAGAGAAGTTGTAAAATCAGACTCACACTTTGCAGAGAGGCAGCATGTGTGTGTTCTCTCTCTCTCTCTCTCCCCCCCCCACAGTTATGCCTGCGGGAGCTTTTAAAGGCAGCATCCAAAGTTTCCAACAACGCGGCTAATTAGAGCAACAGCTGGAGAAAGACAACAGAGAGCCGGTATTCAAATGCATCGTCCTACTTAATCATGTAAAAAGAAGATGCCAGTGCAGATCCAATTTGATTCTCAAGCTCCTTCCTTTCTTAACAAAGTGACTTTTCTAGCATCCTGTATTCTTCTGCTCTTATTTTGAGTAATAAATGCAAAGAGTCAAACGCTTGTTCTCATGCAACAACACAGGTTTAAACATTCTCACTTTCAGCTTTCATGTTCCTGTCTTTTTGCAGTTAATTCACAACTTCTTATTTCATTCAGCTTGTGTTTGAGCGTTGAACTCTGTAGCTGCAGGATTCAAAAAAGCATCAAACGTTCCTATATCTTTCTTTTCAGGCTTCATGATGAATGCCACAGCAGCTTTAGGAGAGTGAAAGCGGGCTGATTTATCTGATCGTCCTGCACATGGTCTCTCATTCGGCGCAGTCAGGGGGCCGAGGGGGATATGATGGATATCAGCGAGACGACTTATGAAGTGACAAGGGATCAGAGCAGAGCTTGGATATCCGTTCAGCAGGCTGGAGTCACCTTGGACCTGCATGTGTAAGATTTCTCGGATGTTTCCTCTGAAGTCTCTTTTATTTCAGGTGATGAGAAGCTTGATGCTCGTCACCTGACTTGACCAGAACTGTTTTCTGCAAATCGTCTGTATATATACAGTATTTAATGTGTATATATACTCCCTCTTTTTCCTGCAAAGCTTGAGATTGGTAGAAAATAATTAAATTAGTTTTAGTTTTGAAAGTTTAGCAGGGTTCAAAACTATCCACATTTTAAGAAAAGTAATCTCTTAAATCTTGTACAGAGTCATAACCCAGACGCCTCCGGAGGAATTTGGCACAGAAAAATGGGAGGTTGTCTAAAGAGATAAAATGTTTTCAGCTGAACACGACTCACTGGAGAGCGTTGTCCGTTGCTGCCCCAAAAGTTCAGCTCTTATTGGAGGCTCAGACTGGATTTGACGTGTCTATTCATGAGGGCTGAATGGGAACCGTGGGGTTTGAAAAAAGAGCCCCTCTATTCTTTATCAAGGAGCCTCGATATCAGCCCGGCCCGCTTTGCATCAGAATAACCGGGCGTTCGCTTGTCAACCAGGTTGGTTATGGGAAGAAGAGAGAGCAGGAATGTGGTTTATTTTAGATGCTGATTGGATGTAAACAGAAGAATTCCTCAATATGTGGAGAGAGAGGATGTTCATTGTTCCCAGATAACCTCAGAGACAGATATCCTGTGGGAATCATCCAAATGTCAGACTGAGTTGAAAAGTGGTCAAAGTAACGATACTGCAGTGTTGAAATACTCGGATGCAAGTTAGGTTCAAGCAAGTGCAAAAGTAGAAACATCAAAACATTTAAAAGTAAAATAAAAAAACAGTCATCTGCATTCCTCGGAGCTTGGATCAAACAAACCCAATAAGTCTTGCATCTTCTCGTACAGCAAAGCAAAAATAACGCTCACCATAAAATTGCAGAAAATCTTGAGTTTCCAAAGAGGATGCACTTCTTTTTTTCTCCTCTCCTCTCCCAAGCCAATTTCTCTTTCTCTCGCCTCCATCTGTCCGTTCACTCCGTCTCCACACTCGAGGCTGCACAACCTGTTCACGGGAAATTACTTATTCATCATTTCCTCGGCTGTGGCAGCGGGAAAAGGCCGCGGATTAGCTGCCTGTATCTTCAGGCAAACACACAAACACACCCACACACACACTGCACACCTGAAATCGGCAGCTTCTTCTGTCCTACGGCAGCAGTTTGGAGGATTAAATGTTAATTCCTGGCGATAAATTTAATAAGTTTGCAATTATGCACACAATGAATCACCGCAGTAATCCTTTAGAGGTTTGGACAATGGTCAGTTTAAGGCTCGAGCTGCTTTGTTGTGTTTTTAGGATATTTTTCTGCAGCTTGTTCGTGCTCCTGATCCCATCACAATCTGAGTCTTACATCTGCTTCTTAAGAAACAGAGAAACCCGCTCAGACACGATGAAACTAAATGATGCTACTTTCTGAAGGGCGGCCTTTAAATCCTTAAACCCTCAAATCCCCGGTTACTAAATGATTACCATTTCACTGCCGGGATCCTTTGCCCCCAAACACGTTTCTGCAGCATTCATCTTCTGCTGCTCTTATCCCCACAAACTCACAAAGAGAGCGAGCGGGAGGGATTTAAAGTTTCCCCTCAAGGACACTCAGACGAGATAAAGGACGATCAACAGACGCCCATGATGTCTTTCCACATAAAACGGATGTGAAAAGTTTTGGCAGCAGCTCCAGATGACAAAAATTCATCTTGTGAGACGAAAATAAAGGATGTGTGTTATTAAAGGGTCGAAGATTTTATAGCTCCATCAATTCAAACTTTGAATAGTTCCCCTTTAAACAGACAGAATAACCTTTAGACGGAGCAGTTGTTGATGATGTGTTTGATGGATGGACGCGTGCTGCTCTGCATTTATAAAAGCTGCTCTGAGGGATGTTTCTGAGGCCGACTGAAGCTTTAAATGATCCTCGTTTCTCAAAGTTCACTCAATCAGGACTTCAGAATGGGGTTACAGAGGGTCTAACTTAACTTGGTTTTTGACTTAACTACCTGTGACAATCTTTTACAACCTAATAGAAAATGATAACAAGCATGACAAAAATACCTCAAAGCAAGCGGGCTAGCTCAGAAACTGCCAGTTTGAGGAGTCTTCATTTAATATGAGAGCTTCTTCTGGTTCTCCTTTTCTTTAAGTGTATCGTCATAACCCGGCTCGTGGGTCAGGGCATATAAGGTCAGGTCAGATAAGAGGTGTTTATTCGATCTGTATCATCAGTGGTGAACGTTTGGGTGTGTGTGAAAGCATGATGTGGTGAAGAGGGCGCTAACATAAAGAACTAAAGAAACAAATATGCACACGTCGGTCTGGCTGAGAGAGAGAGAGAGAGTGAAACAGGAAGCTGGGTTTTTACATCCTGGGTGGAGCGATGGGACCAGGGGTTCCAGATCTAGCATGAAATGATCACAACACACACACACACACACACACTCTAAGCAGGGCCGTCAAGAGTTTTCTCGTCCAA